CCCAGGCGAATTGGGAACGCGGAATGAATTTCGTTGAATTATTTATAGCCGACTTTTTTTGTATTTACATGAAGCTGCTTTTTTTTTAGCTGATAACTCTACACGCGAACTGGGCAATCTGCACTTCATAAAAAAGCCGAGCTATCAAACAGCAGCCAACACTTTGCCCCGATCCCAGGGAATTAATGTGCGCAGGGAGATAAAAAGTACAGTGAGTAAAGAGATTTCATTTGCATGTATTTCGCATTTCGATTGGGATTCCCTTTTTATTTAGGCGCAGACCTTGACAATCACCACATGTGATGACGTTCCAATGTCGAATTGGGATAGGTTGTTATTTCAACCGATGCTGATTTTTTAGCCACAACCACTTCATGGATTTTTGGTACTCGGCCAGCGGAAAAAAGCGAAGTGGGAGGAGGAGGAAACGTATGCAGATGCAGAGATACATTTGCATTTGCACATCTGTTCGAGGCCGAAAACCGAAAGGAAAACAAAGAGGCCCACACTCGAAAAAAAACTGCACGAAAAACAAGCACTTAAAATCGCTTTATTGTTACCCAGGTGGGGAAAAGGGGGAAAACGCAATTAGCCGCGGATTCGAGGGATCGGCGGACAAGTTCCAGCGCCACTGTAGCGGGAGCGGTGCGGCAGCAGTCCAAATTGAATGTAATAAGAAAATGCAATAAATTCTCGCAAAGGCAGACAAAAACGGAAGGGGCCACAATGCGGACCAAGTCGATATGGAAATACCCTCAACAGAAAAAGTAAAATTCGATCTACCTGGAAAAGGAATCTGGATATAGTTAAAATTAATTGTATTAATCAAAATTACATTTATATTATGATTTTAAGATATTAATTATATATCAATCCTTTTTTTTTGGTTCTGTAAACATTTAAAATATCACGGCCCTGTAATTCATATTTATTATAATCAGTTTTTAACCAATTTAAGATTTATATTTTTTGTTGATCGCTTAAAGCTAGAAACACATATTTCCTAATTATGAAATATTATCCAATTACACTACCTAATGGTGACAACAGTATACAATTAAGTGTTGACACACTATAAAGACAAAACGTTAAATGTATAATTTAAATAAGCGAAAAACCATTGCGCCGGCTTTATGTCCGTCGGCGAGCGGTAATTAAAAGTAATGCTGGCAATTAACGGTGGATTTTCGTGAATTTTTTTCCTCGTGCACCAAATAGATCAGCATTTCCATTCGGCCGCCGCCCCACCGCCGCGATCAATTAAGACGCAAACAAAAACCAATCGCAGCCGGCTGCACAGTGGGCCTGATCGGTCGGCAAATCGGTGGGGCTGCGCCGATTTCACGACCGTCAAAAGAGCAGCGGCTGCGACGCGACTGCGATCGCTTTTGTGGGGCAGACAGACGCGAATTGTATCTGAGAGATACGAGTACGCAGGCAGTCCAAAAGTTCGAGTGATCGGGTCGCCGGTAGCGTTATTTTTGTTGCTTTTCTGCGGCAAATGGCAAGGGGCCATCGGTTTCGGGCTACCGATTGAAAAGTGCCGAAAAATATAACATAACCGGAAAAAAGAGTAAAAATAAAAACGAATGTAAACTCTCACTGGCAGTCCAATTGTTTGGACAACAGCTGGAACATTTGAATATAAAAACGCAACGCAATCAATTAGTTCTTCCGCATTTCAACAAAGAATTATACATATTTGATTACAATTTTCACATTAGCATACATTAAATTATTCACCAAACAACGAAAATGAAGTGTTAATCAGTAAATAATAAAGTTATCAATATCACTATTTTTATTAAACAACCACAGTGAAATATTTTAAATATTTATTATGCACATCAACGATAGCCAGCAGTAGTGAAAAATCGTCACAAATACGCGTTGGCATAAATTAAAATATTTGTAGTAAACAAATCGTTAATCACCATCAGTGGTGAAATGTGAAATGCGCGATAAGATTGGCTTTGTTATTTTGATTGCGAGCTTGATTGCCACAATTTGTGTCAATTATGCGTGAGTGACACGCCCTTTGTACCACCGCCCACGCTTTTAATTGAAATTTGCCTGTTTTTTGTCGTTTCTGCCGGTTTTTCGTGTCTTGTGTGCGTGCGAAAAATGCTCAGTTTGCGCTGATAAAGAAAATTAAAGCTGCACAAAGCTCTCGAAGGCGGAAAATGGCGGGGAAAGCGGCAAGGGCAGTCAAGCAGAGGCAATAACAAAAACGGAGACGAAGGCGGAGCGGCGCCCTGAGGGCAAAATAACACAAACGAAAAAAAGCAGAGCAGCCGAGTGAAAGTATGGGATTCTGGTTGGAAATTACCATTGGAAGATACGAATCGATTTAATGATGATTTAGCAGGTTTGAGTTAGCAGCAGCCACCGCACATGAGACTCTGGCAAAGTGTTCGGATGTGGGCTAAGTGCACTGGAAAGATACTCAGAAATGAGCCAAGTGTCGGTGTAATTTATTGGTTTACAAATGAGGAGGATTCGCACTTTGGTGTACCCTATGATTTACAAATTAAAGAGTTTCGAAAGAGAAATATTATTAAAATATTAAAAATTATTTCAAGCAAGCCAGAAGCAGGAAAGTGTTATCATGAAAACAAATAAACTTATGAGTAATAACATGCATAATGAAGTTCAAAGCAATCACCCGAGACGGAAGTTTTAAAAAAATGTGTGAAGCATTTAAAAAAAAGGGTTGTGTTGTATCGGATTCCATGCAAGTCTTTCCCAAAATAATATTTTTCAAATATTTAAAAGTGTTACTAAAGTGTTTCCTGTCCTAGTTCGCATTAATAAAAATTAACGAGCACATAGTGAAAAAAATATAAAACTGCATTTCCAGTCGTGAATAATTGAAGCAAAGTGTCAGGCAAAATTATAGTCAATGTATTAGGGGAAAGTCGACTGCACGATGCTCTCTAATTTCGAATTCTTCATATTTCTGGTCTCACCAAATCAACAACCTTGGAAAAAACTATCTACCCCAAAAATACTGTACGATGTATAAAATGGTTTGCCGCAGAGAAAAAATTCAATGAGTTTTAATTGCCCTGCTTGCAATTGAAATTTATTGCCTAGTGTTTGTGATATCTAAAGCAAATTATTCATAAATTACTATCTACTTGGCCGAGTGACGCCAACATTATCAGCTATCTACTGTACAATATTCCGCTTTATCTATGCAACCGGATTCCGATGGCTTTCAACATGCCCATTTACATGTCGACCGGCAAATGGCTTTCGAAGCAATTGGCAATGGGAATTTACCACAATATTTTATCTCCAATTCGGGCGAGCTTACATGTGCAGGGTTTATTTATTTGCCCGCCCAAATATTTGGTATTTCTATTAGAGCCAAATCGCTCGACTAACCGAAAAGCGAAAATGTTGTGATAGTTTATGGTCTGTCCGTGTCTCTGGCAGATAAATAATTATTGCATTAGCCGCGAAAATGTCGAGCCGCTCTCGATTCGTTTCGTAGCAACGCCCCAGCTTGATTTTAAGCCGGGCCGCGAAACGTGACACTTGGCTATCAGATGTGGCACCATGGCTAAAAAGCGCGGGGGGCATGTGGCACGTAACAGGTAACAGGTAACCGCGCCGAAGGTTGCGGTTGGGCAGATGTAAGCGGAGATCCGCCCACATCGAGAACGAATCTCTTATCCTCCAGTTCGGGGGCTAGCAAAATTAGCAATAAATAATGGAGTGGTAAATACATTAATTACGGCGATAAATTACAAATTTTAAGTTCAAGAGGGTGATGCTGGACTTTTGAGATTTTTAAGATAGGTACTTATATCAAGTTTTTATTTATTTTTGTTTACATCATATGAACCCGTATTTTAAAATGTATTCCAATCAATTTTATTATCATAATAAAGTTTATGATAACGTGGATTTACATTTTTTAAAATGAAATGATTAGCCTTATTGCCTCAGAGGTAAGATAAACAGGCTTTAAAATATGAGCAATAAATTATGAAGTTAAATAACTCGTCTTAATAGCAAGTGCCTGATACCTGAAAACACAAAAATTCCACAGAACATCAATTCCAAAATATTTCCACATTTTTCCAAAATGTTCACTTAGAAATTTTTCCACAATTTTTGTTAGGTTTTGATATTTATCTTTTTATGAGTCACAATATTTATAAGGCGCGTTCATATGTGTTGTACAATAATGTGATAAATACGTCAAGGCAATTAAAGCTTAAAAAGAAATAAACTAAGGAATAGAAATATTTTTTTATCTAATCAAAAAAATTACTTAGGTAACTATAAACAATTTTTAATGAACTTCTTATAAGGTATTGAAAAAAATATTAACCTTGCTATAAGTTATTCGAAAAACGAAAAATCTAGAAGACTTTAAAATCCGTTTGGATTGATAAATCGAGATCATCTTATCTCCCATCCGATCAGCTGCGAAGGGGATTCCATTTCCAAATCAAATCACTTCTTGTTCAACTTTTTCTTCGCCATGGAATCGAAGTCGGCCCAAAACCGGCTGGCCCGTGACCATTTAACAAGTTTCGTTCAGTCGAATCAATTAGCGGCCAAGAGCGTTGACGATCGGCCTGATCGCCAAGAGCGTCATCGGGGCTCCGGCTCCAGGGTCTGACGTTTTGGTTCGCTTTGGATTGGTTTTGGGTTTACTTATGTTAATCAGCTGGCCGGGATGCAAATGAGCGTTAACAGCGCGCTGCTTTTGGCTAACAGAGCGCCCGAAAGCTCTCTACGGATATTTTGCTCCAGAAAACAAGGCAGTCTGTTGGCCAGAACGCGTTTGTAACTCGAGCGAAGCGCACGTGCCGGAAAAACGATACAAATTCGCAGTGCCAAGCGGTTGAAAAGGAAAACTGGGGAAAAACTGCCCCTACATTTTCCAGCAACAACAACAAGTGTGTGAGTGCGTGCGAGCAGAAATCTTGTGTAACCCGAAGAGAGAGGGAGAAAGAGAGAGGACGACAGCTGGGAAATTCACCACGGGCCACGGACTTGGATTTTCCGCTCGTGTGAAAATATTCGCACGCTCACTACGTTTCGGTTCGCCACCAAAGGCAGTTGCTCCTCAACTTTTCCCGTCTCGTGGGTGTAGTGCAGTGTAGTCCCAATAAGACCAATCAGAATAAGTCATCGGTAGAAAAGTAAACAAAATAACCGCCAAATGCGGATGGCACAAGTGCTTGAAACTAGAAATTTAACTACTAGAATTTCCAGGCACTATTAATCAGAAGGAATTTTAATAATACCCCTCGTGACAGTTTCTAAAAAAGTGGTCATAACTCTTACAACCATTAAGAAAAAAAAATGGCATAATAACGTAAAAAAACGGCAAAGCCAAGTGATACGGAAATGATAGTAACTGTTGCTTTTCGCTCACAAACACAATCGCAGCGGCAGTAACAGTAACACAGAGCTTCAATTGAGTCCTTTGTGGATTCGTGTTTGCGATTCCGTCTTTGGATTGTGGCTTTAATCAATGTGAACACTGTAGATTTTGTATGCCCAGGCAGGGTAGCAAAAGAGTTGCTTTAATGTTAAACAGTTAATTTAAAGTTTAGGAAAATATAAAAATAAAAAATTGAGTTTAACCAACAATAACAACTCCCAATCAAAAAATGCTTTGAAATTAATTAAATTTAGCTTAATCAGTTTTTAAGGAATTACACATTAACTAACAAAATATGATTGATTTTCATGTTTGACTTAACTTATGAGTCAAAAAAAGATTTAAAAAAATTTAATTTAACGAAAAGAGTGATTTAAATGCAGTTGATTAGGTGATTACTAGATAAAACAATAGATTGATAGGTTTGAAGAATTTCGTAACCAACAAAATCTGTTTTAATAGAAAACTAGCTGTTGCAGATTCAGAATGCAAATGAAAAATACAAACTAATATTTATGATGGCGATGCGAAGTCAAAATAAATATAGGGTGTTTGCCAATCGAATCCCGAATTGGCCCACCTGCACAGGTGAGAGCAGTGGCCAGCAAGAACGTGTCTGTTGGCGAAGCACACAAAAATTGGCGTTGCAAAAATTTCAATAAAGCTGAAAAACAAAAGCAAAGCATTGAAATAAAAATTATTTCGTTTGCACTTCGCTTTTTATTTGCACGCGCGCTCACTCTTCGCCTCTTTTTGCGTCTCTCATTCAACAAGCTGGGAAAAATTATATTATTTGCCAGTTATTATTTAGCTGCTGTTCCCCCGAGAGAGAGGAGACCCTTTCAGAAATTCTTTTGTACAATCGGCCGTCGGCGCATTAAAATTAATGCTAATTATGAGCTTGTTTGCCCGTCTCCCGGTGACATTTGCCTGAGTTTTTGTTTAATTGCTGCGCTTGTTATGAGAAAAATCAATTGAAATCGATGCGGGACGCGAGTGAAAAATAATTAAATAAACGCCGAACGTGCGGCCAGTGATTAATAAAAATTATGCAAATCGCTCTGAGCAATTTAAAGCGGGGTTCTCGAGTCCAGCTTTGGAATCATTATTTTTATTATTATTTCTCGCCCGTTATTAACGTTAGATGGCGTTTAAGGCCTAATAAAAACACGACGAGAACTAAAACTGAAAATCAATAAACACAAAAGCCAGCCAGAAGAACGTAACAAGCAGCAGCAACAATCAACCATCAACCAAATGCGGCAACAACAAGTGAGCAAGTTAAAGAACCTTTGCGATTTGTAAACGCTGCGAAATACCCGTCGAGCTACAAAAAAAAAACAGCAACAGAACAAAAAGAACATTTAATACAACGCAAGGAGGCAGCAACAATGTCGGAGGGCAGCGATAACAACGGGGATACCCAGCAGCAGGGGGCGGAGGGCGAGGCGGTGGGCGAGAACAAAATGAAGTCCCGCCTTCGCAAGGGAGCCCTGAAGAAGAAGAACGTCTTCAATGTCAAGGATCACTGCTTCATCGCCCGGTTCTTCAAGCAGCCCACGTTCTGTTCCCACTGCAAGGACTTTATCTGGTGAGTTTTAGACCCAAGCATCCCCACCTCCTTCGTTATAGAACCCCCCACTACATAGAAACACATACAGTGGGGAGCAAAAGTGATTCCATGTTCAGAATATGCATGTTTGACAGATCATAAAACGTAAACCAATGAAGCAAATGAAACAAACTTTTTTTTTCTCGATTCCTTATTTAATTTGTAAGAAATAAACTTAAATACCTCAATAATACAAAAAGAAATGTAAGAGAGAAAATTAAAAAACAAAAACAGAAGGCATGTACTCAGTTTTGCACCTTCCGTTATTCGCACTTGTTTTTGCTCTCCCTATTTTCTTATCATCAATACTTGCAGATTTACCGTGTTATGTCTTTTTCACTTATTATTCGTTTTCATAATGAGGAATATCGCACATTTCTTATAGTTCAAAGTAGATTTAATGAATTAAGAAATTAGTCTCCAATTTATATCTGTAAAATGAAGAAATTATCGCGAGGTACCGAAAATAGTATTGTTTCCATGACTAAAAGTGGTTGTTCGACACGCACAATTGCTGAGAAGCTGAAAATTAGTCAGTCAGTGGTGGTCAAGGTGAAAAAGAGACAACATGTTTGTTCCGAAACCGTATTGAATGGTCGCCGCCGCCTTCTAACGGACTCTGACGCTCGACTTATGATGTCCAACATGAGGAAGGATAAGCTTTTAACACCAAAAGAGGCTTCTAAGGAGTTAAATAAAACCGTTAGTCGATGGACAGCCAGAAGAGCACTGGGTAGAATTGGATATATCGCTTCTGTTAAAAAAAATAAACCAGCTCTATCCGAGAAAAATGTTAGAGCTCGGTTAAAATTTGCAAAGACACACAAAAACTGGACTATAGAAGACTGGAAACGTGTTATCTGGTCGGACGAATCCAAGTTTAACCGTTTCCAGTCGGATGGCAAGCAGTATTATTGGCATAGGCCCGGTGACAAGCTTCAGAGACATCATGTAAAGCAAACCGTAAAGCATGGAGGAGGAAATATAATGGCTTGGGGGTGCTTCACATGGTGGCACGTTGGGCCGTTGCACAAAATTGATGGGATAATGCTAAAAGAGGACTATTTAAACATTTTAAAAACCCGTCTTCCCAATTTTCTCGATAAGACTGCCTATCCTGAAGGAGAAATCACTTTCCAACAGGATGGGGATCCCAAGCACACGGCGAAAATTGTAAAAGAATGGTTGGCAAAACAAAAGTTTAAGGTCATGGAGTGGCCAGCTCAAAGTCCCGACCTCAATCCAATTGAAAACTTATGGTCAATTGTGAAGCGACGGCTCGGGCAGTATCAATCGGCCCCATGCAACCTCCACGATCTCTGGAGACGCGTGGAGATTGAATGGAACCAAATTCCGAAAGAAATTTTACAGAATTTAGTTGAGAGTATGCCAAAGCGCATAAAAAATGTAATAGACAATAAGGGTCTTTGGACCAAATATTAATTTGATATTTTTTTACAATTTTTCATAAAAGGTGCAAAACTGAGTACATGCCTTCTGTTTTTGTTTTTTAATTTTCTCTCTTACATTTCTTTTTGTATTATTGAGGTATTTAAGTTTATTTCTTACAAATTAAATAAGGAATCGAGAAAAAAAAAGTTTGTTTCATTTGCTTCATTGGTTTACGTTTTATGATCTGTCAAACATGCATATTCTGAACATGGAATCACTTTTGCTCCCCACTGTACATAGAAAACCATCCCCATCCCCATCCCCCATCCCCTAGACGGCACTTGTGGGTCTACCAAGCATGGCCAGCAATGCGTCCACATAACATCAGTGGTGGGAATCGATAAATGTATATTGACAAGGCGAAAGAACTGAGCAACAATAGCAGAATAACGCAAATAAAAGAAACACATGGCAACAAAAACAAAGCACCCCCAGTGGGGGCTAGCAAAACTCAATTTTTGAATAAATAAAGACTTGGGTTTGTGGTCAGCTTTATGCCTATGAATCCCGATATATTCTGATTCGGCAAACCACTACATTAAATGCAAGACTTTAGTTGTTCGAACGATTCTCGAAGGTGTATTCACAAACAAGCAATCTAGTTGAAGTGCATGCGTTTATTTATTCATGGTTTTGTTTATCTTCAAGAAAAGATTAAAATGGTTTCACTTTCAATTTATTAAAAATGTCCAAAAGTAACAAAGTAATTCAAAGGAAACCAAAAATGAAATCAGTTTAAATTCAAACAAATTCCATTGACCCAACTCTCTTAAGTAGAACTATTTATGACTTTTAAATCTGAAATATATATTTAAATAAAATGAAAATTGGATAATTATTTTTTTCTAATTGTTTAAAAAGTATTAGTTTCAAGTCTTGTTTTATCTAATGATCACTGTAGCTGAAGTCAAGCTGTTTCCCCCGAAATGCTTGTTGTTTTTCGTGGTCCTAAAGTTCAGCCAAAAGGTACAACAAGCACAAAAGCTAACCTGTGTAATATTTAATTTAGGTAAGGCTGCCAAAATCTGTCTTAATCCATTGTTGCTCCCTAAGCAAAAACAAACAGAAGAGCCGGGTAAAAAACACTGAAATTATATTGGGGTAACCTGTTTACTTTCCTGGCCTTCCTGGCAGCCGAGTCCCAGTAGTCACTTCCTGGTCTGCCAGCATCCCCGTGGATTATAAATCAATTTCATGCGCATTAAATTCCCCTCCAAAAAATCCAAACGTTGAAAACTTATTTGCTGACATGAATTTTGAACAGAATTTTGGTTTTTACAGCGGTTATCAGTCGGGATATGCATGGATGTAGGTATTCTGAAGGATTTATTTTACGCACCCCGTTGAGTAATGCTAGAGAATCGTGCTAGAACTCCATTTGAATTTAAAAACCCTTTAGAAATGTGCTCATCGAATTGCCATCAAAGAAAGCTGAAGTGTGTCGCCTCGCCCCCACACAAATTAATTAATTCGCCACTTAATATTCATAGTCAGAGTTGCCCTCCAACCACAGACACTTTGACGAGCAATTCCAGGGATATTAATTCATATTTAATAAACAAACACACGCTGTCTCTCTTCGCAAAGTGTCATAATGTCGGGGCGTTGCGTTGACAATCTAAAGCCGGAGTCTAATGAATGGATATGGAAGTCGCTCGCACAAAACGCAGCCAATTTATTAAGCTCGTCTTGTGACTCTCGTCATCGCTTTGGGCTCTTTAGCTAATTGTCGGCCAAGACATTTTGGCAATAATTAAATTAATTGCTGTTTAAAATGCGCAACCAGCCGCCAGCATCATCGATCTATGCCCATAAACCCCTGGTGGGGCCAAAACCGAAACCAAAATTTAGGAACCCAACGCCCAAAAACAAAATGAGCGTAGAGCAACAACAAAAAAATCGCAAAAAGCTGTTTGCCGGCACTGCATCATTATTACACGTAATTAACGCGCTTTGACAGCAATACCAGCAAACAGGCCTCAAAGCCACGCCCACCGCCGTAAACGCCCGTTTTTTGGGGGCTGCAGCTAATTAACAACTCCAGCCACTGTTACACTTGGTTTCGACTTTTAATTAATAGTGCGGGGACTTTGGGGGCACGCACACAGCGCTCGGTGTTGCAAAAAGGCGTTGCAGGCACGTATCTGGGCCCCCGGAGGGTGTTAAGTGGGTGTGGCGTTGAGGGGGTGCCTTCTTTGGCTGGGTGGTGCGGCAGCCACAGCGGCAGAAAAGTGTCACCCGCCTTCTTTTGCGGGCAGCAGGTGAAACATTTGCCGTGTTTACGGCACGTCATTTGCATAATAGCGCGGAAACCGAAAAGGTCACGATGGAAATTCCAGATAGAACCTCGAAATACCCTGAACACAACAATTTGCATTTTGCAAATGATAATTGGGTTTAATCAAAGTGTGGCTGATATCATGTGGTAGATTATTTAAAAAATGAGTAATCTCAATTAAAAGGAAGAAAATATATATTAAAAAATTTATTTAATTCCCTATCTTGTTTAGAAATTAAATTCAAAATGTAAAGTAATAAAAAAGAGCTCGTGAAATTAATTTTAAGATGTGTGTCACATATGTTACTTAATCGGAACAAACCATATTGGTAATTTTATGAGCTTCCGGAAAGAAAAATTATTTTGTAAACCCATAACAGCGAATAATTTGCTCAAATTCCGCCTAATTAAAAAACACTCTTGTCATAACAATTGACTAGTTTTATGCAAACTAAATACAAATACAGTTTGAATGCATTTTCTGCCAGCTATCCAGGGCATAAAAACCTTTTTGTTTAATTAATTAACTTAAATTGCAAACATTCTTAACCCCTTCCCTTTGTTTCAGTTTTTTTTGCGTTGCTGCAAAATATGCGCTTAATTAAAAATTGAAATGCATAAAAAATTGCGTGGGCGCCATTGGAGGGGTGGGGGAAAAACGGAATCATAGTATAACTGCAGGCGCGGGAAAATTGCTTTTTCACTTCATTTGATGGGCAAACAAAAACGGGAAAAAAAACCAAGGAGAGCTGAAAACAGCGAAAAGCCAGAAACAGACAACCTGGTCGGACAAAGGAATTAAAATTAAATGGAAAATGCGGGCCGAGCCAGAAAAAAGAAGAAACTGAATTATGAAAGTCAGCGATAACAAATCGCCCGATTGTCCGATTTGTGTGAATTGTCCAAGTGGTTACGACCTAATCGGATCAACTTTACTTTGGCTTAACGGACCGAACTTTAACCGGGTTTCGGTCCGTTCGTGCTGAAACTTATTCAACTGCAGTTGCAAAAGTTGGCCAAACAATTTCCAGCGCCTCAACTTGCTCCTTTTATAATTTATATAAATGCGTTTTCCCATCGTGCATGTGAATAATTTGCCTTGTCCCAAATTGCAGCCCGGACTGGACACCGAAGGCTTAGGGGTTGGCAAAGCGGTTTGTGGTCAAGTCATTTACGGTCGAGGGCTGGGACACGGCTGGGAGCGGCTCACGGAAGTCTCAGCCTTTTGGCCCTACAACAGGTCCTGGCCATTAACTAGTGGTCCGGAAAGGGGCTCTGTATGGCTTTAAGTTCTTCATTTAAATAGGCAAATATTCAAGAAAGTTATGTTGCGTTCCTGGCATTAAATGATAAATTTTGTATACATTTTAAAATTTTGTATACATTTTTGAAGATATCTATTACACAGGTCAACAAAATGGACTTTATTAAAAGGTGCAGGCCTATGGGCATTAAAATATGTTAATATAGACGTATATAAGAATATCTGCATACTTCGTTTTCGCGTTTAACGGGTGGTATTTGTGCAATCGCGGTTTGAAAAAAATAGCAACATTTAATATTTTGATTTAAGATATCTTCGACGGTCTTTGCCCAACTGTATTAAAACCTGTGCCAAAAAATGGCTTAGATGCCCATCTACATAATTGCATTTAAGGTTCCAATTTTATTTGAGTCAATCAAATCCTATGAGCCATTGAAGTAATTTGTTCACCTCTATTCACAACCAACTTAATGCGGTGAACAGTCTTAAAAAAATACAAGGAAAAATATGTGCCGTAAAATATTTGACAGGCATCTAGAGACGACTTTTCCCGAATTTTTGAGATAAAACCCACTATTGTACTTCGAAGGATGGAATTTATAGAATTTTTTCCGTAAGAACGGGAAAAGTAACAAGAATTTTGAAATTCCATTTTACATAAATATCTGACACATTCGTAGAAATTTGCCTTTCAATTTGTTTAGCAGTAGGCGCCGAACATCGAAAATTTGTATTTTCAAGGGGTTAGTATGCCTGTTAAATATCTCCCCCCACAATTTTAAGGCTACGCCACTGTTATCTTTAAAAAACCTACTGTGTGAAGTCACGACCAACTCGTTACATAATAGTTACTCAAAAATACTTGTTACTTTTTACGTTCCTATGAAAAAAATTCTATAAATTCCATCCTTCGACGTATAATGGTCTTATTTATTTTAAAAATTCGGTGAAAGACGCCTCTAGATGCCTGTCAAATATTTTAGGGCACATATATTTCCTTGTATTTTTTTAAGCCTGTTCACCGCATCAAGTTGGTTGGGAATAGAGGTGAACAAATTACTTCATTGGCGCATAGGCTTTGATTGACTCAAATTATGATGGAACCTTAAATGCAATTATTTAGAAGGGCATCTAAGCAATTTTTTGGCAGAGGTTTTATTACAACTAAGCACAGACCCTCGAGGACATCTTAAATCAAAACAATTAATGTTGCTATTTTTTTCAAACCGCGATTGCACAAATACCACCCGTTAAACGCGAAAACTAAGTATGCAGATATGCTTATACCCGTCTATATTAACACAATTTAATGCCCATAGGGCTGCACCAAAAACACTGTCGGCCTGTGTTATTATTACGTTAATTTTTTATTAAACTGATTATTAAAACTGATTATATTCATTAAATTATTGTGGTTTATGATAGATATATTTCACAACAAATTTATGTAGTCATAATAATAACAAAACCATTATCGTTCATTTTCATATTCGGATATATATTGGTAAAAATCTGTATTAAATTATTCTGAATTCACAATGTGTACTAGTTATATTTAAAATATGTATTAGAAAAGCTTATTAGGAGAAGTCATGATAAAATCAATGCGTGTTTAGTCAGTAGACCAAATATTTAAACTTAAATTAGGTACATTTCCCAATAGTTATTTTGAACAACAACGTGAAAACTTAATCTGATGGCATTCCACCGCTGTTCACTTAAATGATTACGTAAGGTAAACAAGTTTTTAGAGTAGTTACGATAAAAGCAAAGCAAACATGTTGACATTTAAGCAGGCCTTCGCTGTGAGGTTCTATAAATTCCTCGAGCCCTTTTTATATTGATTAATTTTAAACGGCCCATGGGGCCAGCGATTGGTCCCCCTTCTCGTAGCCTATTGATTAATGCTGCATTAAATATTTATGCTAATTGATGTAATGGACGTAACTTTATCTCTGCGAATACAAATTGACTCGTTTCCCCTTGCTATTTTCATGCTTTTTGCAGGGGCTTTGGAAAGCAAGGATTTCAGTGCCAAGGTAAGGGATCCCTTCGAGAACTTCGACCTGCAAATAACCCTTTCTCCGCCTGCAGTCTGCTCCTACGTGGTGCACAAGCGGTGCCACGAATATGTCACCTTCATCTGCCCCGGCAAGGATAAAGGCATCGATTCGGTAAGTGCGCACCAACACATATGCTAAATAGGATAAAATATATGTGCATATATATGTATATGTATATGTGCAGGATAAGGCACCCGACTGCATTTTCCTGTGCGAGTGGAGGCGGAATGGAATGGGGTCTTATTTGCATTGCTTTTAGTCTTTGTGGGCTCTGTCAAATTAAACTGTCATTTGGATTTTCGGTTATGCCAGGCTCCGTCCGTCGTCCGTCCGTCTGTCCGTCCGTCCGTTCCAAAAGTCCCAGCTGTCAGGTCCTCTCGTCCCGACTCGCCTGTCAACTTTGCTTTGCCAGCTAAGCAGACTCGGGCTAAAAATGCGAGTTTTCCTTTTGCTGCTGGGTTATGGAAAATGTCATTTGGATTTTTCCGCATACAGCAGCTCTCTACGCTGTGTATTTATTCAGGCAAACCGCAGCACCAGAAGAAATGATGGCGAAATATATATTTCTTAAAGGAAATTCCACCGTAACTGGGGGCAAACATTAATAGCTAACTATTTAAAAGAAATGGATTTTTTAGGGCGTGTATTTATTAGCTAATTTTACTTACAAATCGTAATTAAATCTTCATTTAATTTTCTGAATTAAAAAATCTCTTCCTGTGTATATAAAATCCTATGAATTTTCTTTAGAGTGTACTGTCCAAGCGAAAATTCTGTGATGGGGAGACAGCAAAATATGGCAGGAATATAGAGAAAAGAGTCTCAGATGGATTGGGTTTTAGGGCGGGACAGCTATAAAATGAAGTAGTTTTTTCTCGGCTTAAATTTCAGTTCCTCCCCCGCCAACCACGCACATGAAAAATACAGAAAAGATATTTTAGTTTAAAAGCAGTTGCAAACTTACACTAAACTTATGTAGAGTTTGTCATTTGTTATGTTTTCAGTGCGAAAGTTAACCGCGAAATTGTTAATTTGTCATTGTGCTCTGTTGATTTACCATGAACAAAATTTGTACTTTGTATTCTTTTCCATGTGTGCATCCACCAAAATCAAACCAAAAACTCAATTCGCTGTCCAATTCACGCTGTCACGAAACCACGCACCAAAAAAAAAAAAACAACACAACAAAACAAAATGAATTCGGAATCGAAATTGAAACTGAAATTGTTGCAACCACAAAAAAAAAAAAAATAATCGAATAAAGGACTCACCAAAAACTCAACACAATTTCGAGCCATTCACATACGCAGGACCCACGTTCTGCGATCATTGTGGTTCCCTGCTGTATGGCATTTACCACCAGGGTCTCAAATGCTCAGGTAACCCCAACCCCCTAAAGCTAGAACCCTTTTTTACCCCCAATAAGTGTTTTTCCCCTCCGGCTTCTATCTTCTATCTCTAACCACAAAAGTTTTTCGCTTCTCTCTTTCACTTAACTTTTAATCCTTTTCCGAAAAAACCCCAACTGTCAGTGTAAATAATGATGATAATGTATGCGTGAGCTTGTTTGTGAGTGAGTCTGTGTGGGAATTAAATTTTAAACGCAATTTGACCTGGTCAACAGCAAGGAGAAAGTTTCTTTTGCAGGCCCTAAAAGTTAATTATTTAAATTGTTTAACCTACAAACATACAGATATATGTGTAAGCAGGCCGCACCTTTGTAAATATGTCGATACACCCGGGCAAAGGCTTCCTTTTTTTCGTATATATATATGTGTTGCTTGCTTGCTTTTCACTTCCTCGTAACCGAACCGCACTGAAAGTTTTCTCTGTGTGCCACGTGTAACCCACTTCTCCGCCCACTTTTCCCCCACCCCTTCCAACCCCAATTCATTTGCATAATTATGCACATGCCAGGGATACTCCGAGGATTCCAGTGGAGAGGGCCCAACTTAGTTGCCGAACAATGCTCGTCATTTGTTTAGACATTTTTGTGCAGCTGCCCTGTGATATAAATATAATTTTAATGTGTTTTTGGGCCCACTAACAAATTGTAGCAGTGCCACAGATAAAAAGTTTTTCAGGTCCTGCCTCGAGGTATATATGTGTATGTACATAAGTGCTACAAATTCCTTAACCCAAATAGCTTTTAAATTGCAAATAAAAAGAATAGGAAGAATGTTAAATTTCAGAAAGGATCCCAAAACAGAATAACCATCACACAAAAGCTGATAGCTCATGTTTCAGAAGTCCTACAAATTAACAAATACAAATGGTAATTTTGCAAAGTTATCAACCTTTTCTGTGAATACAATGTGTTTCTCCCTGAGTAGTTTCTAATCCACTTAGGCATAGGGGAACTGTAACTACACTATACCTTCTTCCAAGTGGGCCTGGTAATTAATTCACAGCCATAGCAACTGGCCTAATTAGAAGGAGTCAGAAGTAAACACCTGATGCAGAGGCAATAAAAGAGCATTCGGCGAATTGGAAAATCAAATGTCAATTCCAACTGTGCCGTCAAGTGCGATGTTATAACCCTGGCAACCCTGAATGAAATTTGCCTCTGGAAAATGCTCACAGCACAACCCACTCATCCCATCCCAATTGTGGCTTTTTCCCTTTGGCCTGTGTGTGAAATACAATCTGGCCTAATAACCTTACATGTTGCCTTTGTCATTTGTGTTTGTGCGACATCTTTTGGCTCTTTATTGCCACCCCTGTGTGCATCAAATCGGATCAAATTTATTGCGACAGGTGTAGGCAAATCAATTTCGGGCCAAAGCTTAGCTTCACACCTGAACAGAATCGGTTGGGATTCCTAGAAATTTGATTGTAATTTGTACTTGAAGCGGAAATTGAAAACAAATGCAGTTGGGCCCATAAAAAGCTATCATATGGCAGTCAGATCCCCGGCGATATGACCGCATTTAGGAGCCCTGCCCCGAGTCCATATGACCGCCCAACTTCTCTTATCTGCGTTGTCGGAATAAATGACATGGCAATTTATATTTGCCAACGCTGTTTCCCCCAACTTCGCACCACCCCATTTGTTATCGGGCATCAGTTGTTAATATGCTGGCAGTTATAGTATATATGCCGGCGTTTTATATACCAAAAATTACATTCAATGGAGTAATGGAAGCTGCCATCCCATCCAGCTAGATGATGATGATAGCGATAAGGAAAAGTGGGGCGGCGGGATTTCTCGATGGATGGAGGGGTGCTCAAATTTGTTAGGTGACAGCGAGCGACGTCAGGAATGCTGTGATAAATTCACGCTGCAAATATTTTTTACAAATTTTTTTGCGCCGGCACGTGGCAAATAAGTAGGCGTCAAATGGGGGGCGTGTTAGCCAAATGAAATTCTATCTGCGTGCGTGAGTGTGCGTGGGCCAAGAGACTTATTGGGAAATGTGTGACGCGGGGTGTTTGTTTACGATGCTTTCATGTGGCTGATACTGTGACGTAATGATAAGAATAAAACAGACTGTGGATTGAACTTTTATGTTGGGTAAAGTAAATTGGTTTAGAACATACACATGACCTTTTAAAAGAAGAAGTAATATTATTTTTTCAAAAAATGTAAACAAAATATATATGCACATTTTCTAAAATAAATTTTTAAAGTTTTAGGATTAAAAAAACCTATCTTCAGGGCTATTGAATTTCCACTCTTTAGCCAAAATTTCCACAATGTCAAGGGGTTTATTCGAGTGTCAGCACCTGTGGCTATTCAGGGTCTCTCAAAGGCGATTCCAATTGGAGGCCGCACACACACACGTGTTTACCCTCAATGCGATTGCATTTTATCCAAACAAATCCCCCACCGCCCCCACATCGACCACTGCCCACCCTCGCGGCCTTGAGCATGCCCGCCAAAGTATGCAACAACTTTTTTCGTTGTGCCAAGGCCGTCCGTATGTCTGAGTGTGCGAGTGTGTTTGCTTTCTGCTGGTGTTTGTCTTTTGGTAGCAAAAGGATATTAATGGCTGAGCAGCTGTTGAACCTTGGCAGAGACAAACAACAAATGGCTGAAGCCCCAAAAAAATAAAAAGAAAGATGGAGGAGGGACTACTACAGGGGAACTACTCAGTGGATGCTCATGCTGGCGCATAATGCTATCAAATGTCCTTGCCTGGGGCACCACCACCCACCGCAAACTGACACAACAATCGCAGGATAGTTCCCCTCACCCACGAAAAGAAATAACCTTAAAGTTTTCAGCCAATGTCACGTGTGAGAAAGATTTTTTTGTGCGAGTGTAAGAGCTCCTTGAAAAGGATTAGGCGGCAATTGTCTTTGCAACCTTCGCTCTAGTTACTTATGTTCTATACTGTATAATACATGTGTATATGTGTGTATATACCCACTCATCACACTGCCACCATAAACCCTCTTCCATTTTCATTTGATTTCGCTGTTTGTGACATGTGATGGCCAACTTGCAACTCAATTAACGTCGCGTTTATTTCATTAGCACGAAAGCAAAACTGCAGAAGTGGAAAGCATCTGCAGCAAAACCCCCTACAGAGGTTGAATTTTGGGGGCCAAAATGCTATTGAAACCATCTTTGAAAGTCCTTAATTGCGGGTTCTAAACAAAGTTAGTTTTTTTTCCATTTAAACTACTAAATTTCAAATTTAATATTCAATTATACAAATCGATATTATCCTTTGGGATAGTAAAATATCTCCTCATTTAAATCAAAATTCTGTAGATAATAAATCACCTTCAGTAGTATCAGCTTTCTGTTGTTCATACCATGCGTCCTTTTTATCATGTTGTTTTGTAGTCCTTTGTGTTAATTTGCAATTGCACCTATGTAGCTATTACGAACACCTATTCCCATGCCCTGCGTTAATTTTCCATTAGTTTTCTCTTCCAATTCGAATTTCAAACCGAACTCGAAATCGGGCAGGCGCATCAAATGCCCCACAAATGGCAGAATGTCACATTCCTGTCGCCGACGTTCTGTGATCATTGTGGGTCTCTTTTGCACGGCATCACGCACAAGGGTCTCAAGTGTCGAGGTAAAGTCTCCTAAAGTCTCCCCTATAAAGTGTAGTATAGTATAACCCCCCCTCTTTGTCGGCGAAAGTGTCCCAACTCATTTGCATTTTTGGTGGCGTTGCCGCAGAGTTTTTAGATTGTTGCAATTTACAATTAGCAGCGCTTTGTTCCGCTCAAGTGTGCACTTGTCTTTGTGTTTGTGTTTGCCAGAATGTATATGTGACTGTGTGCGTGAGTGTGAGTGTTTTGCACACTTGGGCGAATTGTTTGTTCTTGCTTTTGTCACTGTCGCTGACAAGTTTCCGCCAGCTTTTCCCGCTTTTCCCCATTTGTTTTGCCTCGCCAGCTGCCTGCAGTTGATTTTCTTTTCATTTTTCGTTGACATTCTTAAAAACTTGTTAATTTTCACGTTATTGCAAGTGCATGTCAAGTTTGCAAAGCCACTTAATAAATGTTTACTAATTTTAAAGGGCCAACAATATGTTTTCGAATTTGTAGAATCGGGCGCCGGGGGCTGTTAAAGTATAAATATCTAGCAAGGTAATATTTTGCTCTTTTTTGGCAACCAATTAAATGAATTACGCGCTATTGACCTAAACAAACACGTACAAAGGTCGCCTGACCCGAAGCAAATGTAAATGTGTTTATGGTTGTATTGTTCCGACTCCAAGCATTTTATATTCATATGTATGCTAAAAACAATTTTTCAAATAATTAAGTTAACATTATATATACCTACCTTATAATTTACAACAAAATTATCAAAAAAATTAAATTAGGGTTGATACAAAATTCAAATGGAGATATCGGGGATATGGGCTTTTCCTAAAAATAATTATCTTTATACTCTGCTGAGTTTGAGTTTGTGTACAAAATGTTTTTAATAAAACCCAAGATTTTTATCTTGGGGAAAAAATCAAATATATAGTTAAATAGATCCTCCCCACTGCAAAGTGATTTTAATTCTATGAGATGTTCTTAGCTGCAAAGATCTTGTTTGTGTGCTAAAATCAAAAAATAAACGTGCTAATCAAAACCTGGTTCAAGTCTTTCGGGTAATAACAGACCTTGGCAAATTAATTTTCCACATCACTAGGCGAAACAGTATAAAAGCTCTTCGAACAGTCAATTGAGTTGGATCTTACCCCTACCCCACAAAGATGATCGGTTACCTGAAGGTCCTTCTGTTGGCAGCTCTCCTGGTCCTTAATATCGATTCTGGATGGTCTCAGTATCCTCCCTATCGGAGTCAGTAAGCCGGCAGTAGACTCTGGATTGCTAAAAGACTTATACATTTTTCAGAATGCTTTAATAATGAAGGATACTGTGCATCAATTCGGGCCAAATGCAAGGAGATAGGAAGTCGTAATCTATGTCGGCCAAGGGAAAAATGCTGTAAGAGGTAGTACTTGCGGTCCTAACTTAATGTTGCTAAAGAAGATGCAGCCTTCATTAAAAGTAAAATGAAAACTCAAACTTTAAGGACCCCTTCTGTTATCAGATCTTTTTAACTATTAAATAAGTATTTTTATAGGGTTGGACAGCTAAATGCTAACCCAATAGGACAGTCAAAAACTCACCTCCCTCGTGCATAAATATTATTTCTGAGAGACCCAGACTAATTGATTTATTATTCGTCTTAATATATAAACCACTGAAAAAAGGCTTTGCAGCAGTTAACAATAATGACCAGCTTCTTTTGGGTCTTTCTGCTAGCAGTTCTCCTAATCGCCAGTCCTGCGGTAGGGCAGCGGAATAGACAAAGTCTTACTGCAAGTACGTTTATTACACTAACCTTTATGTTCCGGCCATTACTGATAGTCCAATCCAAACATCAGGATGCGGATCGGGATGGTGTCTGCCTGTAACTTACCGTTGTCATCGTATAACGAATAAATGTTGGGACCCAAGGACCAAATGTTGCTTATGGAGCAAAAGAGAACGGAATACACTTTCGTAACCACTCCTTATTCTAATTTTATTTACTGCGTTTTGTCGGCTTTAAAACTCCTCCTGAGGCGAAAAAAATAAAAAAGGTTGTCTTAAAAAAAGCATAAATAGAAATAGTTTCCTAAATCCTATACTTTTTCCCAAATCCTGTATTAATTTTCAATATAAAGTAGTTTTTTTTTCCATTTCAACAAATGCCAAATTCCATATCCTTTACAAACCACAATAGTTCAGTCCCAGACTAATCAATTTAGCTTAGCTCTTAATATATAAACCTCACACAAAAGTCTAAAGCAAGTAGTTACATTTATGATCAGCTATGATCTTGGATTCTCCTGCTGGCAGCTCTCTTGGCTGCGATCTTTAATCCAGCTTATATCGATGGCATGATAAGAACTCTTGGGCGTGACCCAAGTATGTATGTTTTTTATAGCCAGCACTCACTAAAACACTTACTTAAACATTCAGGATGCGGAGATGCTGGATGGTGTGTTACTAGGGAAAACCAGTGCAATAATACGTTTGACGTTTGATTACTGTTCAAACCGAAATGAAAATGTTGCCTATTCCCTGGATGGACTCATTATGAGGAGAAATAACGTTTAGGGCAAGAATATCTATAACTAGGAGAAATGCATATGTAAATATTTTTGCGTACTGTTAAAATCGAAATAAAAAAAGGTTTTATATGTATATATCCTATATCCTGGATATGGGAATTGAATTCAATTTCCTTATATCTAATTTGATTTCAGCAATCTTGAATCCATTCTGCTTACAGATCTCTCAATCCCGATTATTATTTCTAATGATCTTTGTATAAAATTCATTGTATTTGGCAAAACCCTTGTAAATTGACTAGAACTGATTAGGAATGGTAATGAGCTTCGCGGATAATCTGTGTCTAAATGTCACATTTATTTCCTCTTTAAAAAACACAGCTCCCATTAGCAATTTTTAGACACAGACCAATCAATTTAGCACACAATTTCTGAGTATATAGCACCTCGATAGAGTCTGAGTCAATCAATCAAGCATTATGGTCCGCTTTATTTGGGTATGTGTTCTGGCAGCTCTCCTTATTACCAATATTAATCCAGCCCATGGGCGACGGTATCGAAGAAATACCGGCGAACGTACGTAAACCAAACCTTATTTTGATCTAGTCCTTGCTCACACGATCTAATATTAATTTAGAATGCCAAGTCGGATGGTGTGTCACTATTCATAACAATTGTGCAAATACTGGACACCCTTGTTCAAACCCACGTGAAAAATGTTGCAGATTTCCTGCATATGGAAGTGGAGGTGGAGGTGGAATGTTTGGAGGTGGGAGGCCTGGAGGTGGGAGGCCTGGAGGTGGGAGGTATGGAGGGAGTCCTGGATCGAGTTCTGGATCAAGTTCTGGAAGTTCTGGAGGAGGGAGGCCGAGGCCTTGGGAGCATATGATGGGTTAGAGCTGTAAAATTATCGATATTATTGTATTGTATTGATATTTTCCAAACTTTATCGTTAACGTATCGATAATATCGATGTTTTCAAAGATAAATAAAAAAATATTATAATTTTCTTAAAAATATTATTATTAGAAAAAAAAGCGGTAAATTTATTTAATCATATTTTCCGGGTCTCATTGTTAAAATACAATTTGTTATGATCTTTCAGACTAAAGGATCCTCCTCTTAAGAATTTGTGGTTGATTTTTTTTTATCATTGAGCTGAATTGCATCAACGATCTCTAGAAAGACACCAATTCTTAGTCAAAAATTTGAATTCATTTGAATTTCTTCTAAAGAATTTCCGGTTGATTTTTTGTTCGATTCTTGGTCCAAATCGCTCAAACGATCTTCGTTTTGTTTGGTTTTGGTACTAAAATCGCGGTAATTTTTCTAGTTTAATTGATACCATACAATAGTGAAGAAAAAATTCCTCCACTTTTGAAGAATTCGCTGTTGTTCTTTTTTGTTTTTCTTCGAAAAGCGACCAATTCTTATCCAAGGGTATAAATTCGCGGTTTCTTGAGATTTTTTTAATAGCGGACAAAAAGTTGGTACATCGATATTTGAAAAATATCAAAAGTATCGATATTATCGATACTGACATGGTAGCTTGGTAGCTGATGGCTTTCAGTAATGAGCCTAATGGATTATCCTGTGCCTAATGTCATTTAGTATTAATTTCCTCTTTAAACAAGAAAGGAAGCTAGCTTCGGCCAGCCGAAGCTTATATACCCTTGCAGATCATTCCTATTAATTAACAAATCGCAAAAATGTTCAATTTTCTAATATTTATCATTAATTTTCCGATGGTTCCTATGACAGCTATATGATATAGTCGTCTGATTTTGATCAAATTAATATTGAAATTCGGAATTATTTAAAAAGAGTCATATCCTAGAGTAGAAGATAATACAATAAAAACCAAAGAAGCTAGAATTTATTTCCTATTACTTTTCCATTAATTTTCCGATCGTTCCTATGGCAGCTATATGATATAGTCGTCCGATTTCGATAAAATTAAAATTGAAATTCGGAAATATTTAAAAAGAGTCATATTCTAGAGTAGAAGATAATACAACAAAAACCAAAGAAGCTAGAATTTATTTCCTATTACTTTTCCATTAATTTTCCGATCGTTCCTATGGCAGCTATATGATATAGTAGTCCGATTTTTTAAATAATTAATTCGAAATTCAGAAATATTAAAAAAATAACATCCCCAAAAGTAGAAGGTAATATTTCAAAAAACACCGAAGTTAGAATTTTTTAAAGTTTTTTTTTCCGATTGTTCCTATGGGAGCTATAAGATATAGTTGTCCGATCCGGTCGGCTCCGACATATATACTACCTGCAATAGAAAGAAGACTTTTGGGAAAGTTTTATCCCGATAGCTCAAAAACTGAGAGACTAGTTTGCGTAGAAACAGACAGACGGACAGACGGACAGACGGTCAGACGGACAGACGGACAGACGGACATGGCTAGATCGACTCGTCTAGTGATGCTGATCAAGAATATATATACTTTATGGGGTCGGAAACGTCTCCTTCACTGCGTTGCAAACTTCTGACTGAAATCATAATACCCTCTGCAAGGGTATAAAAACACAGCTTCCATTAGCAATTTTCAGACCCAGACCAATCAATTTAGCACACAATTTCTGAATATATAGCACCCCGATAAAGTCTGAATCAATCAAGCATTATGGTTCGCTTCATTTGGCTACGTGTTATGTGTCTTAAGTCTGGATTGCTAATAGGTCTTACAAATTTTCCAGAGTGCCAATTGCAAGGAGATAGGGCCAAGGGAAATATGCTGTTGGAAATTGTACTTGCGGTCCTAACTTAATATTGCTAAAGAAGATGCAGCCTTTATTAAAAAGCCTCTCTTAAGTAAAAAAAAAGTTAAAAGTTAAAAACGCAAACTGGACGGGTATTTTTTGTTGGCAGATCTTTTTCCATACAATTTTACTTTAACAAGCGGTATTGAACTATTAAATAAGTATTTTATAGTGACAGCTCCCTCGTGCATAAATATTATTTCTGAAAGACCCAGATATTGATTTAGTATTCGTCTTAATATATAAATCACTTGAAAAAGTCTTTTGCAACAGTTAACAATAATGAACTTCATCTTTTGGGTCTTTCTGCTAGCAGCTCTCCTGACTACAATCGCTAGTCCTGCGATAAGGCAGCGGGATAGACAAAGTCTTTCTGCAAGTATAATACAACAGCCTTTAAATTCCAGCCATCGGTTACGTAGTCCAATCCAAACATCAGGATGCGGATCGGGTTGGGGTTTCCCTGTGACTTACCGTTGTCATCGAATAACAACTAAATGTTGGGACCCAAGAACCAAATGTTGCTTATGGATCAATTTAGCACACAATTTCTGAATATATATGGAACCCCGAAAGAAACTGAATCAATCATTATGGTCCGCTTCTTTTGGGTATGTGTTCTGACAGCTCTCCTTATTACCATTATTAATCCAGGACGTGGGCAACGGTATCCAAGAGAACGGCGAACGTACGTAACCCTATTTTAATGCAGCCCTTGTTCACACGATCTAATATTAACTTAGGCTGCCAAGTCGGATGGTGTACCACTAGGCATAACGATTGTGCAAATACTGGGCACCCTTGTTCAAATCCACTTGAAAAATGTTGCAGATTTCCTGCATGAAGGCCTGGAGGGAGGCCTTTTTAGAGTCCTGGGAGCCCTGATTGATTTTTGACTAAACAAAATTAAAAATGTTTCCTATTTTCTGGATAGACGACATTTCAGGGTTATTAAGGTTGAGGGCAAGGATATTGTGGTACTACATTTTTTTGGTTACCCTGTGCAACATTTTAGATCTTTGGATGTAACTGCAGTTTGAATTTTACAATCGAAACGCGTCAAACATCATATGCTGTTCTTCTACTTGCCACATGTTACTCTTCGAAAACCAACTATAACTTTTAAATACCCTTTGCTAACGTATATAAATCGGGGATTTAGTTTGGTGAATATGGTTGATATTTTTGGTGATGTTTTAAATTGTTTTAATAATATCTAAATCATAATACTTTATTTTTGATCTATTCTGGTGTGTCACAGAAACCTCACAGAAATATTTCGTAATGGCCATATAGTAACCATTAACTACGTTCCTTGCCGAAGACATTTAGTAAAAATCTCAAATGATAATTTTATTATAACATTAGTATTCGAAAACGTTTATATTTTAAACCAATTTATTTTTCTCCACCCTTCTTTGGGTCGTCTGCAACACTTTTCAATTGAATTGCAGAAGCCACGTATGCTCTGGCATATGTAGTTTTTTGGTACACAATATCCTTCTCCACCGCATCCTAAAATATTCATTTGACTATATAGTGGGTTTGTAATATTTATGTGGAGTATACTTACGCTTTCCATAGCTGATAATAAAAATCACGCTCAGAAAGGCTGCCAACAAAAATCCTTTCAGAAAGCTGACCATTTTTGTTCAATATTTCGAGTTGTATTGTATGAACAAAATTTGTCTTGCCAAAATTATGGATAGTTGTGAAGTTGTGGACTCGAAGCAAACACAATCTTATGGCATCCATCGAGGATGGGTTAATTTTGTAATACAGTGTAATTAATGTAGAATTGTAATATATAATTACAAAATCAATATATCATGTGAAATAAGCAATTCCATGCCAAGCCCTTTCCAGGCAATTGCAATTATCACGCAAACAATTAAAAAAAGCTTCTGAAGTTTCTCCTCATGTACAGCCATTTTATTTGTTACTCTAGAGAGGGATGGATACCTTCTCGATTTATTTTCTTCTCATATCTTTGCTGTCCGTTACTTTGTATTCTAGAGCCGCTAATTGGCGTAAGTGTATTTTCGAATTAAATAAAGAATCTAGCTCATAAAGTTTTTCAAATACTTCAGCGGAATGTGCAAGTTATGGACGCTGCTATACCGTCAATACCCCTTTTGGACACTTTAGACAGACAAGGTGTGTTCCTTGTTCAATGGGTTGATTATTACTTTAAGTAAGATGTTTAGTTAAATTGCAAAAATCTTGCAATGATTTAGGGTGAAAATGTATAAGAGCAAAACTTTTAATAAACTACTTATTGACTTTACAAATATATTCCTTGAGATTTTAAACTTACATTGGAAATTTGAGTGTAATCGTAGTATTAAAAAGAAAAACAATGAAGGTTTAAATATCGTAAACCTAGTTTCTTGTTTGATCGATAACCACGATAATTCTCATCGGGGTTATATAAGAAATTCGTCATGCATTTTATAGCCAAGCGTTTTCACAATGCCAAACGACTTAATATATCATTCAGTGTTATTTCGAGAGCCAAGATGGTGAAGTGTTTAATATTATGTGCGATTACTCTCCTGTTGGGTTTTATTGGCGTTTGTTCTTCCCTTCTTTACAAACGTTAGTACAATTTTTTGAAACTTAAATCTTAATCAAATCATATATTTGGCAATTTAAGGATGTGGAGCTGGAGTTTGCGTTCCATCGGACACTGAGTGTATGTCTCCTAGATCATCAGTGTTCTGTGGGAAACTACAAAAATGTTGCGTAACAACAAATAGGTCTGGAAGGAAGGGAAAACGCTGAACCACTTGCATTTTTTTGTTAACTACTGTAAGTTTCAGCTAAGCGTTCCCCAACTGAAACGAAGCAATTTCTAATGGCGTAATTTAAATAAACAAACTTTAACAACGCCTTAAAATCTGTCTCATTTACCAAAATGGCAATTCACCTAAGTATCCTATTGTTCTTAGTTCTTTTAACTTTACTGAGTTATTCGGAAGGTTTTCGCCTGAAACGTTTGTATATTATTTTCTATATAAGGCACTATTTCGTATACCTTTCTAATTAAAAAAACTTTTAAGGCTGTGACAATGGACTTTGTTTGCCAAAATACGTTTCATGCAAAAAGAAACTAAAAATGGAAACAGAAATTTGTAAGAAAAGTGAAAGATGCTGTAACAATACATAAATTAACAAGGAAAATCGTCAGTTACGAACCATATTAATGTACAGACGCCGCTGTAAAAATCATAACAAATAAAAGATGAAGAGAAAAAATTTTTGGAACTATTGTTCATTATTCCAAATTTTTTTTAAACAATATAACATGTTTTTATGATTTCTTATCATAAATTTAGATATTATTAATGTAGTTTTTTTTCTTGCCAAAAATCTGATTAAAGCTTTTATTAAACTCATTTTTAAAACGAAAAAAAATGTTTGGGGCTTAAATAAAAAATATAACATGAGCTAAGAGCTTGCTAGCAAAATTGTAACTTAAATTTAAAACAAATTTCAAAGTTTATAAGCTAACATATTTGAAGCCCATCATATGAGACTTTTAACTGATCCACAAAACTGCAAAAACACTTCATATAGAAAAAAATAGTTTATATAGTGTATGCAAACAGCCAAGGAATACAAACATATATGCATGCAGGGGTACAACCCAAAATGGAGCCCACATTATGAATACACACTCGTATCTGTATGTTTTTTTTTGCAACGCGCCAAAGGAAACCCTTTTTTTGCCTTTGTGTACACATTTTTGCACATTCTGTGCTGACCAACATGCCACAGGGCCGCCCCGCAAAACGTATCTTAAATACCACGCATACGCAGGGGGAGCCGGACATTACGTATACGCCACGTTCGCTTGAGCGAAATTAAGACCTCGCCAAGGGTGGCGGTAAGGAACCAAAAGTAATTTTACACTTCACCAAAGCGGAATGTTGCCAGCAGAAAAGAGCCGAAAGGAAAAGTCGGGGAAGGCCGATATGTGAGAGGAAACTGAAGCAATCGGCACAAACAGGATGATGCCCATTGATGCCCCATGATGGCCGATGATGGCGGCAAAGTGTTTTAATTGAAAGCAAAACGTGTTTCATGAAAATGAATAGCAATTCGATTTTAGCGAATAATTTCCAATTGAACGCTTGCCCCTTGTCAGAGTCAGGAGCTACCCAGCTGCCATCGTGAAGGAGCAACAGTTTGTCAATTTCCGCTGGCAGTGAAATGGGGAAAAAACAAAACCTGTGGGTCCGATAGGTGGAAATTGGCTTTAGTTTTTTTTTACTGATTGGTTGTGCCAGATGCAGCTACAGGGCAGATTAAACGGCAGAGTATACACAGGTAAACTTTAGTTTCCAACAACGTGCACGGTAAGTACTTCACATTTTATCTGTGTGCGAGACTGTACCTCACTTAGTTGTGTGAGCGAGACTGTACCTCTGTGCGTGTGCGTGTGTGTGCGTGTGCTTTGTTCTACTTCAACATCCAAGTCATGCCTATCAACCCCACTGACCAAACTCTATTTGCAACCCCTAACTCCTTCGCCATTCAGACTAACCAAGGTCAGACAACTAAAGATTCTCAACTTCTTTCCAACCCCCTCTTCAGCATGTGACATGAACGTGCATGCCCGCTGCAAGGAGAACGTGCCCAGTCTTTGCGGATGCGATCACACGGAGCGACGGGGTCGCATTTATCTGGAGATCAATGTCAAGGAGAATCTGCTAACTGTCCAGAGTAAGTGGCCCCTAAAGCCAGGGGAATACAAATTTAAGCCGCTTAAGCATTGTTACCAATTATGGGCGAGCGGTCTAAGTTTTTTATTTTGTTTCTGTGCCTTCGCTAAAAGGGCGAGTGGGCGAAAAGTTTACGGAATATGAGGGCAAATGAAAAAAAAAAAAAATTATGCCCCGGGAAGCCGCAAAGTTTGCCAAGCAACGCGCTTAAAATGTTACATCTTCTTTCACAGTCTTTGCGCCTTTGTATTTCTCCGTTGCTATGCGTTCCGTTTCGTTTCGTTTCCTGTTGGGGAAATCTTGGCGGCCCAAAGTTGCAAGTCCTTCGGGCTCCTGGGAAAATTGCTTACGATTTGCATTAATTCATTATGCGCGCTTAAGGAAATTCTCCGTATTCGTTCTCCTTCGTTAGCCGCAAATGCCACATAATGAATACTAAACTAGACTGCAGTTGCAGAACAAAGGAGCGGGACGGGTGGCTGGATGGGATGGATGGGTGTATCCTCCGGGACACAATGCTTTGTCCCGTGCCCAGGAGCATATTTCACGTAATTTCTGTAGCTGCTTTGTGGCCGAAGTTTTCACTCAACCGGGATGGGTCCTAATTGACTGCTTATGGCACAAATGTTTGCACTACCCACATTCCATTGTCCTGCTTTTCAGTCAAGGAGGGTCGCAATCTCATACCCATGGACCCCAACGGACTCAGCGATCCGTATGTGAAGGTGAAGCTAATCCCAGACGACAAGGATCAGTCGAAGAAGAAGACTCGCACCATCAAGGCATGCCTGAATCCTGTCTGGAACGAGACCCTCAGCTAGTAAGTATTTTTCTAGTAACCATAATATTAGTTTATAATTCCAAATGTGATCTAGTGATCTGAAGCCCGAGGACAAGGATCGACGAATCCTGATCGAGGTGTGGGACTGGGATCGCACCTCACGCAATGACTTCATGGGCGCCTTGTCCTTCGGCATCTCGGAGATCATCAAGAACCCGACCAACGGCTGGTTCAAGCTGCTCACCCAGGACGAGGGCGAGTACTACAATGTGCCATGTGCGGATGACGAACAGGATCTGTTGAAGCTCAAGCAGAAGCCGTCGCAGAAGAAGCCCATGGTGATGCGCAGCGACACGAACACGCATACGTCGTCCAAAAAGGACATGATTCGGGCCACGGACTTTAATTTCATCAAGGTTCTGGGCAAAGGATCGTTTGGCAAGGTGCGTAGATAGCCTCTGACTTAAGATTAGTTACTTATTATATCAATATATATAATTAAATATAGTTACTTCAAATCCATGCATTCAGGAAAACCATATCAACCACGCCACCTCTTTTAGTTTACTTGTAAATAATTTCCACATTTAATTTAATCATTCCTTTAGGTTTTGCTAGCCGAGCGCAAGGGCAGCGAGGAGTTGTATGCCATTAAGATACTCAAAAAGGATGTGATTATCCAGGACGACGACGTCGAGTGCACCATGATTGAGAAGCGTGTTTTGGCGCTGGGTGAGAAGCCACCATTCCTGGTGCAATTGCACTCCTGCTTTCAGACAATGGTGAGTCTAGAGTCTATCATCGGAGGGGGGTATCCAAAAATAGATAAAGAATACCTCCTCTGCAGGACCGATTGTTCTTTGTGATGGAGTACGTAAATGGAGGCGATTTGATGTTCCAAATCCAACAATTTGGCAAGTTTAAGGAGCCAGTGGCTGTGTAAGTGTCCTTTTAAAATCAACCATCGTTACCCTTAACTATTGTTTCCCCTTCAATAGATTTTATGCTGCTGAAATAGCTGCAGGACTTTTCTTCCTACATACCAAGGGTATACTGTATCGGGATCTGAAGCTGGACAATGTCCTCTTGGATGCAGATGGACATGTGAAGATTGCCGACTTTGGCATGTGCAAGGAGAATATAATGGGTGACAAGACCACAAAGACATTTTGCGGTACCCCCGATTATATAGCTCCCGAGGTGGGTTTAAGAGATACGCGCCACCCAATAAATATAAACATTTTACATTTTCCTAGATTATTCTTTATCAACCCTATGGCAAATCGGTGGACTGGTGGGCCTATGGAGTTCTGCTCTACGAAATGCTAGTGGGTCAGCCACCATTCGATGGCGAGGATGAGGAGGAGCTGTTTGCCGCCATAACTGATCATAATGTGTCCTATCCAAAGAGCCTGAGCAAGGAGGCCAAAGAGGCCTGCAAGGGCGTAAGTTCTTAACAAAATACTATCTAAATTTAAACTACTAACTAAAAAAAAAACCTTCTTTAGTTCCTAACCAAGCAGCCAAACAAGCGATTGGGTTGTGGTTCCTCTGGCGAGGAGGATGTGCGCCTGCATCCCTTTTTCCGACGCATCGATTGGGAGAAAATAGAAAATCGCGAAGTGCAGCCACCATTCAAGCCGAAGATCGTAAGCAGATTGCATCCCTATACCTTTACCTTATCTTACCCTTAATCCTTTCATTATCCAGAAACACCGCAAGGATGTGTCCAACTTTGACAAGCAGTTCACATCAGAGAAAACAGACTTGACGCCCACGGACAAGGTGTTTATGATGAACCTGGATCAATCGGAATTCGTCGGCTTCTCCTACATGAATACCGAATACGTTTTTGCCCCATAGATTCAATCCGATCCGATTCGATCTAGTTTCCATGCTGCGAGTTGTGTCCCATTAGTCTATTTTGATATTGATCGCTAAAAAGACATCTTGTTTATCTCTGTTAAGTTTTCTGTTTGATTTTCGACCATTATGTGTATCTATATTTATTGAATTGTTAAGTTTTGAGTTAATTTTAAGTGCTAGAAACTGTGAAACAGAGCTTTAGTTGTGGAATTTTCGAATACTGTTCAAGAGCACGTCCTCACTTAAAGCCAAATGAAAAGAAAGCAATAAAAATGAACATTTCAAATACTTGATAGCCTATCACTCTTCGTAGACCTTTCATCGATTCTGTCCGATTTTAAACCATTATTCCAAAATAAATATTTCGGCAAGCTTTGAGCATTTGCATTTTCCATATTCCATTTGGAAGTTATCTTTTTAGCCAACATCTGAGTGTATTTGTAGCCAAGTAATCGATTTTAATAGTTAATACCGCGGGTAAGCCCCGTTTTTTCGTCGACAGAGAAAGGAAGTGAGAGACCTAGGAGTTTTGGGCCAGGTTCAAACGTCATTCGATTGTAGTGCTAGCCCCGGCATTATGATCAAATCGAAAACGCGTTTAGGTGAGTTCGCCAAAGAGGGAGAAACCAAGGAGAACAACTAACGTTCCCAAAATATTCAAAACTTAAGCAGAAATATCATAGAGTATGTGTTTTTTAAATTCCATCAATATATCAATGTGCGTGTAAACTAATTTAACGATACGATTTATTTAAAAAGCATTGCAAACACACGTATATATAGCACGTCTATATATATGGCTGGCATAGAGTCTCAATGTACCATAACTAACAAATTGCATAGCAATAAGTTAAGCTTAGACGATACTTAACACTAAAACTGTATAACTAAAACTGTTTGCTCCTAACCGAGAGATAACTACGTTAGATTGTTCTTGAGTTGGAAACTTTAGTACCTTCGCAGGAATCTAGCTACTAACAACTACTGTTTAACTATGGGAAAAGACAATCTACTATAAGCATGTAAATCTATAGTCATCGTATATATAGCCTAGACCGATTTCCAAATTAGCGCCAGCCGAGCTAAGCTTTTGTGCCTCTCGTAGCTATCTTTCTCTCATAGAAGAAACCCTAACAGAATTCATGCCAAACGAGGCTATGCGTATTTATAGGGAAATTATATTATTATACATGTATGAATGTCTGTCGAAGGGGAGTTTGTAGCCAAGCTAATTGCATAGGGCACAGCAGAGTAATTTAAATCAGAACTAACAATTAACGAGAATTGGTAAAGCTTAAAAGTAGTTTGAACTAGTACACTCGATACATAGTAAAATTTAATACTTATAAACTTAAATAGATCAAATTGTGTAACTCCGAACTTGAAGCATTTAAAACGTTTAATTTAACTCTCCAATTTGAAATCAAAACGTAAGCTAAGTTAAAAGGGTAGATCAAAAGGAATACTCGATCCGGTTGAAGATGGATGAGTACGATTCACAACCACGATGAGTAGGACTTAATGTTTAACCCGAGGGAAAAAGAAATTTGCTCGTATTTTTAAAATAAATGTAAAGCATAACTAACATATATCTATAGATGTATATGTGTGTCTGAATTACTTTAATGACTTTTATGGCAAATAAATGAAGGAAGCGAAAACACTTTTCAAGTCTGTTCAAATATTGAAAATATTACAATTTGAAGAAAATTAATTTTTATTATCAAACTATATACATATTGAAAATGCATATTGGTAGGACTTTAACTGCATACAGTTTTATTTAGAGTCAACACTTTTACAGAGCATATTTATGTAATTTTGATGATTTTCATGGTCATTTTTTAAACCAAAGTCTCATACGTATGTATTTTAATTGCATATTAAATTAGTACAAAACAAATAGATATATACACTTATACATTAATATATTTATATCTATGAAATATCGATGTGAATTACTTAACAGATATAATACCATACGATATCGTGTGAGAGAAAGCAAACAACTTCCAAACGAAACTCTCGCGCGAAACCCAAACTAAACTAAAGAAAACTATTTTTACGTCTGAATAATTCACCCACACCCCCGATTCTACACATATGCCTGTGCATATGCATCCGCTATATACTTTTACGAGTACACACAGTCCCAAGCTGAATGTAATCTATAATTTATTGAGCCAGGCCAAACAAAGAGAGACAAACTCAAATAAATCAAACAAACGGCTTTGGGCACACCACACACATACAATACGAGTACCCAAAAGTAAATAAAAATACTACTAAATACATCTGAATCTCTGAAACCGAAAGTGTTTATCTGGGGTTTTGGAAATTTGAATCTACATTAAATACAATTTTTAACTTTAGAAAAATAAAATAAATTTGGATAAAATCATAATATTTTTACCAAAAATAAGTCTATAGGGTCACAAAGGTATCTAGAATTCGAATTCTGTCCAAACCCGTTGATCATAAATTTGCAGAGCCCAACAAAGTGTGCAACCAAAAAGATGTATACTACCTGTAGTATCTATATAGAGGTTAGCCAAAGGGAGAGGCCGATCGGCTGGGATAGAGGTTGATGTTGAGGTGGGTTTGCGTGGCGGCCTTATCATTGATTGCGTACAAATTAACATTTATGCGTCCGTTAGCGTTAGATAATCTTATCGTGAATTTGCAACAATTAGATAGACGTGTCCAGCAGTCGCTGCCAAATCCTCCTCTTCACCCAGTCGGCCATCCAGTCTGTCAGTCAGTGAATAACATGGACAGTCATCGAATCGTTCCATCTGTCATGTACGCCGTGAATTTCACCAGGCCGGACTCCCACTGGTCACTGGGACAGAGCCATGGGATGGAGCACAGTGACGAGTGCATCTTCCAGAGGAGGCAGCCCACGGTGGCGATCTTTGTGCTCTACGGACTGGCAGTTCCCACCTTGGCCGCCTTTGGACTGTGCACGAACTTTATCAATGCGGTGGTCTTCATGAGGCCCAAGATGACCCCGTCGGCCTTCAGTTACTTGGCGGCCCTCTCCTGGATGGACTGCATCTCGTGTCTGCTCATCACGTTGACCGCGTTGTCCAGGAGCTATTTCTACCGCAGCCCAGCCTGGATTGCCTACGACTATCAGTGGCAGACCCCGTTCTTCGGGATCAGCACGGGAGCAGCCAATCTACTCCTGGCCTGCCTGAGCCTGGATCGATTCACCTATCTGTCGGGTTTCAAGCGGAACAATGGGGCTCCTCGCTTTTGTCGTCGGAAGGTGGCTCGTTGTATGATCGTTGTGGCAATTGGCACATCCATAGTGGTCAATATGCCGTACTTCTTTGTCTTCTATGTGAGCGACTCGGGAACTTGTCACGTCACCGATTTCTACTATTCAAAGTGAGTTAAAATTGAAGTTTTGAATGGAAAGATTTTCAAGAAGGAATCTTTTCCTGCAGTTTTTATAAGGTGCAAAACTGGTTCACCTTTGCCTTGTTGGCCCTCTTGCCAGCCATTTTCCTGTTTATCGGCAACGGGGCCATTATTATAGCCTTTCGAAAATGGACTAAGCAGAGCCAAAGGTGTCAGGCGAGCGATCCGAATGCCAATAACCGCACCACCGCCAAGCGATATCAGGTATTTTAATGACTATAAAAGTGGTTCCATTTGCAAGGGAGAGAAAAAAGTATAATATTTTTATCAGTGAGTGGAAAAAAATAACTGACAGTTAAGAGACTACAAAATTCAAAAGAGTTTTATTATAATAGAAATTTACGTTAATGGTATTTGTAACTACCATCAATTGTATTATTGCAGCACCAAATGAAGCTGACCATCAGCATAGTGATTGTAATTACATTGTATTTAATCGGAGAGCTTCCCGCCCACATGACCTCCAGAAAGAGCTCCCTAAATCTAATATTCGGCGGTGATACCAACAAGGTAGATGAGTCCTTCATGGAACAACTGGAGGTGATCTGCATAACGTTGAATGCGCTGCAGTTGTCCTTGAATATAGTGGTTTATGCCGTGATCAATCCATCGTTTATGCCGGAGTTTTTCCTGTGCATGAAGGGCACCTCTGATATATGCTTCGGATTGTGTTGTTTCCGGGCTCTGCGAAGGCTTTGGACTCGCTGCCAGGCTCGGCGACAGCAACAGGCGACGGCGGAGGAGCGAGTGGTCAGCAGTGTGAGTCCCCAGCATCTGCCGGCGGATGAGGCTCTGCCCTGCGGCTGCGAGAGTTGGGCGAGTGATTCCGGATGCAAGATAAATGCCCATTGCAAGACGGCAGTGGGTACATTCACCATGAAGGATTCGGAACAAGACGAGGAGGTTCTTGGCTGCCACGAGTCAGAGGTTTTCTACACCAGATCAAGCGCCTGCTTGCACTCAAAAGACTCCGCTCCCGACGAGGACTCCATATTTAGTTCTAGCTTTATTATAATCACTTAAGTACATATATTTACTAAACGTTTAAGCTAAGAGTAAAGAATTAAATAATCATAGTGCTATAACGGTTTAACAGACGATTCCATATCTTATTAGTGAATCCCCGAGCTGCCTTCTCATCGCCATCGAAAACCTTGTAGTACGGATCTCCAGGTTGAATCTTGTGTATCACAATGTGCACCATTCCTTCGCCCTGCTTGTCATCTTCATGCAGTTTTCTTAACATTATCTGTTTTTTAGGGACTTTCACTTGGGTATCAGTTGCATTAATCGTGGCATTGTGTTGATCTTGAGCTTGAGCTACCAAAATACAACACATGAGGAAGAAACCAAGAAGGTAACGGAGATACATCTTCGTATGGCAGTGGATCCAATGGATTCAGAATTGAAACTGATCTTTGGAAAAAAATGTAACTACCTCCAAAGAAGTTTTTGCAGCTGATCAAATAGTTTTCAAAACCAGTTTCTGTCTATAAACAACCGATATGAAACATTTTTATTAATATCACATCACTTTGTAAACAAGTAAATGGCCACTATGAGACCATACAGTCCCAAGACCTCGGCAAATATCAATATTAGAATGATGGCCACGAAGAGTTTCGGCTGCTGGGCAGATGCCCGGACTCCAGCCTCACCCACAACGCCGATGGCGATTCCAGCCGCCATCCCAGAGACACCCACCGCCATTCCAGCACTGAGGTTCAGGAATCCCTTGTAGGCGCTATAATGCTTGTTAAGCGATCCCGCCAGCAGGACCGCAATCACCAGTCCATAAATGGCTATAATCCCAGCCATGACCACTGGAACAATCGCCTTCATGATCAGCTGAGGATGTTTGATGGACATCGAAGAGATGCCCACCGCGGCCTTCGCGGTCCCGTAGGCAGCGCCCAGCGTGGAAAAGACTATCGCCGTCACGGCGCCCAGAACGCAGAAGAAGGGCGCAAAATGTGGTTCATCTAACGAGATCTCCGGATTTGACATTATTCAGCTGAATGCTTTCTTTGGCAATTTGTTTAAATGTTACTTACTATGAAGTTTAGTTTTTGTTTTTAAAAAATTTTATATTTTCTTATATACAGTTTAAAAATTTTAAGGTTTTTTATACCCTTTTTTTTTTCTTCCGGGGAGGAAAAAATCCCAAAGTTTTTTGTTTTGAAGTTCTTGAACGATGTTACTTGAATCTATGAAGTGTATTCATTTTCTTGTATTTTTTAAATCATTTAATATTTTCATATATACAGTCTTTAAATAAACTGAGAAATACGGTTGCTTAATAGACAAAAATATTTGAAAGAGAAATTCAGTTTAAACTATTTTGAACACCAAGATTTTTCCAATAAATCTTTTTTAAAAGATTCGAGGGCTATGAACCCTTAACCCTTTAGCTTAAATTAGATTTCAAAATACTCAAATGTTTAACATAAAAAATAGATATTCTATAGAGAATTTATATAGTTTGATATAGGGCAAAGAATCCATAACAACAAAATTTTTCTTCTTGAACCATTCGTAAAACTAAATCATGTCTTTGTTTATATACAGCTTAGTTATTATTAGTAGTAACCTATTTCAGCGGGAGCTATAATACACACAAAATTATTTCAGAGAAAACTTATTTTCCCTGCAACTTGGATAGAAAATCCATGAGGAACTGATGCCTTCCACGTAGTTCCCCTATGCTGCGATGCTTTAGCTTGGCGCACATCCGTCGAATGAGTTGCTCTCGATCGCGTGCCCCCATTTTCATTTCGATGAGTATTACTTTGTCCTCTTCTCGAGTCCAAGGAGCCGATGGGGAACTACCAGGCTCAGATTGCGATGTGTTGGCAGTCGATGTAGAAGCTGCCGCTGTTCGATCTTCGGTGGGAGTGCAGCTGGCGAGCGTGGCCACAACATCCAGCTTGCAGTCCTCGTCGCTGTCGAACTGCGTGGTGATCACGTGCTGCGGTGTGTTGCCTGCACTCACTTGCAGAGGCTCCAGCTCCTCCTCCGATTGATCCAAGTCCATTTTGAAAACTGGCATGCTTTCGGCACTATCGTCTAGGCTCTCAACCTCAATTTTCGTAACAGCAGCAGGACTACAGCGAATTGGTGGCGTTGATGACTGCTGCTTGGCCTGCGCAATAATCCTTATGCCCGCCTTTGTATCCGCCGCATCGCGGACGCTTTCTTGATCAATCAGCGTGCGCAATCGCTTGGCGCACTCTATGGCCGGCGAGGATGAAGGCTGTGACTCGTGGATCACGACCATTGGCTGGTTATTGGCACGTTGTCTGCCCTGAGATTGATTTAGCGGAGACCTGATTTTCTTGGTGGGCGACTTTCGTTTGTCTACATGAGGAGAACTATTGGTCGTAGCCGACAACGGACTCATTCCCGAGTTGTTAAACGCCGATTGCTTGCGTGGTGATATCTCACCAAAGTTAATGGCAGTTTTCTTGGCATGCGGGTGATGGCTGCCATGAGAGTTGCCCACATTTGGCGTGCTGGTGGCTGCGTTACTGAAGCTGGAGTTTGTATATAAACTGGCATTCAAGCGGATGGCATGCGCTCTTAGGCCCGCCTCGTCGCACATCTCAATGGACGAGCAGCTGTTCTGCTCATCCCCTGTTGTATCAATAATCAGCGCCCGACTGGCATCATCCTCTTCACTCCGATCCGCAGCATCGTCGCTGTCTGTATTGGCAGCCAAGCTAAGAAGCTTCTCTCCCTGGGCACGAATACCGTGGGCACAGGTCAGAGCTTCACTCGAGACCGCTGGCACGTCATGAGATTGTTCATTGTAAATACTGGCAGCCATAAAGGAAAGCTTGGCCGGCAGCAGGATCTTGGCCCCATAGAAAATCCGACCATTAATGTACTTCAAGTGACAACCAGGTTTACTTGGCGTTGGTACATCCACAAATTCCTGAATCATTTCCGTATATTCCCCCGTCGTATTGTTCTGCACATCATGCAGATTTATGGTCTCCACAGGAGACAGGATTCTATTAAAATACAAAAGTTGCAATAAAACAATAAAGAGCTGCTGGGAAACGCTTACCTTTTTGGGGGCTTTCCCTGGGGAAATTGCTGCACAAACCAATCGACCAGAAACTGATTGCCCTTGAGCAAGGGCATTATCTTATTCTCGACCTTCTTCATGCTCACATTAGGCAATTCGGCCAACTCGCTGAGGCAGGTATAAATCTTTCTGATCTGAGCGGGCTGCTTGCAAAAGTAGATGTTCAATTTGTTGATAAAGTTGGTGGCGTTGCTTATCATGAAGTGCTCGAAGAATTTGCCGATCTCAGCGGCCTCGGCAGGTAGCAGAAAGTTGAGGAACACCTCAGCCAGTTCGGGGTGGCTGGGCAGCAGAATCTCTTCTACTTTCTAAGGGATAAACCAAAGGTTTTAGAAAAACTATACGAAAGAACAAGCAAATAACCTTACCAGATAAAGAGCTGAAACTTTCTCCTGCCTGGGATCAAAGTTCTGCAGTAGACTGTTGAACTTTCTGCAATCGTCTATGCGATCGGCATTTAGCAGGGCCTCCTCAACTTTGTCATAGAAGTTTAGAGCAAAAACTGTGAATGAAAAGAAATGGAAATGAATGAATTTGATATAGAATGGATATCTGAGTAGAACTCACTGGCATCTTTGCGATTGCGTTCTTCAGGAGAGTCCGGCTGCAGCATGTGGCGCAGCATTTCCTCCTGCCGATTGGCCCTCTTGAGCTTTGCCGCCTCGTCATCACTTCGGGATCTCTTGGGCTGCGTTGCAGTGGCTGGCTTAGTGGCGCTGGTGCTGCAGAACATCTTTAGGTCGACCAGCAGTTGGGTGTACAGTTCGAGGGCCAGAAAACGAGTGTGCACGAGCTGCAACGGCTCGCAGTCTTTATATTTCTCCCTGCGCTGAAGCAGGTAGGATTGGTAGGTGGTGATTAGCGAGTGGCAGCGCTTGCTCAGTTTATGCCGCAAACGTTCGCGCAATTTGTGGTAGCGACTGCGGGCTGACGACGCTGATCCCTTTCGCGATTTATGGGCGGATTGAACCTTTGGCTTAAAGATTTGGTAGCGCGCCCTCTTGGCGCTTCTACCTGCAACGGAGGAGCTGCTATCCTGCTTGGGCAACAGATCCTGCTGTACGCTGGCCTCGCTGGAGTCCTCCAATTCGCAGATTTGCAGGCTGTGCGTGAACTCGTCTACTCGGAAGTTGACCGCTGGCGGGGCATCGTCGGCCAAAGGGGGCGGAGCAGGCGGCAGGGCCAGGAGACCACCGCACTCGGCGCTGGTGTACAGGCTGCGGTTGATGTTCAGCACATTCTCGGCCAGGTTTCCGCCGGACAGAAGGGGCACGGAGACCCCGGATAGGTTGCCTGCGTTCGCATCGCCGCCAAATACATAATTCACATTGATGGTGAGCTGTGGGGGCTTCTCCGCAGGGCGGGACCTTCTCCGCGGTGGCCTTCGCCTCGGTTTGCTATCCTTGGGCTGTTCCGAGCCAGCAGCACTGCCATCAGGGATCGCCGCCTGGCCAAAACTCTCCGGCAGCAGCAGGTCCTCGCCGACAGCCTCGCGCACAAACTCCAAGTACGAGACACTGGCTTCCGAGGACGCTTTGGAGGCCTTGAAGTAGCGGCGGGTGCGCTTTTGCTCCCAGGTTTTCTGCAAAATGTAAGCAATTGAAAATTTTCCGCAATTTATAAACACAACAGAGATGGCACAAGCTTAGTGTGGGGGTATCGATAACATATACAGTCGGTACCTAGCCGCCGATAACCAGTAATCGGTCGGCGAAAAGTGTTGCTTGCAGGCAACAGGTGGCAAAGCCCGTTTTAAACAAGTATTTTACCTAATTTTAAAAGTAAGAGCTTATAAATAGTTAATAATCAAAAGTACCTAACCGGTTGCGCACCTAGGTACAGCTATCTAAATAAGACACATCTCTAACGATAACTTGGTGCCTGCCTATCGCACATTTGACTGCACTAAAAGTAAGAGCGACAACATATTTTTTGTTTTTAAATAAAATAGGATTAAGGAAAAGTTAATAAACTTGATAATTTATACATTTTTTTACCACTCCCACTAGGGTTTTCAGATTCCGATTGTTACAAACAGCGGAAACCCATTAAATACCGGATAGACCCAAAACTGACCACGTCTGCACATTCCAACATGAGCAAAGTAACCTTCAAAATCACACTAACTTCGGACCCCAAGCTGCCCTTCAAGGTGCTCAGTGTTCCGGAGGGAACTCCCTTCACGGCCGTGCTGAAATTCGCCTCGGAGGAGTTCAAGGTGCCGGCGGAGACGAGTGCCATCATCACGGACGATGGCATCGGCATCAGTCCCCAGCAGACGGCTGGAAATGTGTTCCTGAAGCACGGATCCGAACTGCGCCTCATACCCAGAGATCGGGTGGGCCACCAACTAAGCTAGTTTCCTAGTCCCCTTTGCATTTTCCCCCTGAGATTTCCCCTTTTCGATGCTTATTAATGCTTATTAAACGATGTAATCAGTAGTAATCCATGGCATTCCTTACCTCAATGTAGTATTGCCAGCCACTGGGAAGCTCCTGGTGACGTTCTCGAGGGGTTCTCACTAGTCCCCCCTCGAAACCCCAAAGGATGTGGTTCGCAGGCGGCGCTCTATGGCGTTCAAAGAAGTATTTCACTGGATTATACTGCTTCGCGTCCCGAAGCTCACAGATCTTCATGAAAATCCGCCGGGCTGTCTTGCCATAGATGGTATCCTTGGCCATTTGTCGGCAGGCCACCCGGATGGGATCCGCTCCTTTGCGCAGTGGTCTTCTGGTTCTCCCCACCATGTGCTTCTCCAGACCGATGGCAATAAGCTGATATTCGGAGGGTGCATAGGCACTGACCTGGGTCAGTTTGGGCTGAAAGGCCATTCTGGGAAGGTACTGGGGATACATAAACACTCGGCTATCCAGCATGAGATCCATGATACGAGGCGCCAGCCTGGGAACCTGCCGCGTGTGACCATCACTAAAAATAGGAACCAATTAGCTATAGTTGTTTTATCGTAATGTATCAAAAACCTACGTCAAATCAGTTTCCTTGTTGATAAACTCCATCATGTTCTCGTTCTCCTCCTTGAACTCATCACTGCACAGATCCTGTTCCCACTGCCTAACCAGCTGGACAGCCTCGTTTAGATTCCAGCAATTAAAGCTGGCATTTTTGGTTGCCTTTTTGTGCAGATCCTCGAGCATTTCCCTGGGCTTCTTGGCCATAGGATACAACGTGGGATGCGAGTAGGTTTGCAAATAACTCTGACTGAGCATCTGGGTATGAATGCGAAGCTGCTGCTGAAGCATGTCATGCTGTGACTGGGTGAATCCCCTGCTCCTGGCAAGGTGATTGAGGTTAGTGGGTTGCACATTTCGCAGATTTTCAAACTGATCCTCGTACTCCGAGTAAATGTGTTTCTTCACCGAGATGTATTCCCATGTGAAGTTCGTATCAAACGGTTTTTTGTATCTATCTTCATTGCCTTTCGTTAGAAGAGGTGGTTGCATTGGCTCCACGTTGGAGAAATTCTGAAGAGATTCTTCTGTTAATGGATAATTGCTCAACGTTGAGTCATTTCCTACAACTTTGGCCAGTTGGAAGCAATTGGGTTGTCCAGGTATTGGAACAGCTATAAGTTCGGGGGGAGCACTCAAAGCATCGGATGGTATGTTGACCACCTTGCAGGGCGATCCTCCTGGACCACTTTGCACGCCTCCCTCCTGCATCACAGCCACGGGAACGGGCATCACCATGCCCATATTGCTCGCAGGTTGTATCACAGTTGGCTGAAAGACCTGCTGATCTTGCTGCTGGTCAAAATCGATATTCCGGGTAACCTGCTCAATGGGAGCCATCGAAACGTTGGCACCTTCCATGAATTTCTGAGGTGTTTCCAGTTCAATCGATTCCAAAGAGACTCCCTCTTGCAGCAAGCCAGCAAATAATTCAGAGACCAGATCGGTCAGCTCCTTTTTGGATATGTTGACATCGCGCAGCTCCTCGGCATTCTCATACTCCGACTCCAAGTGATCGGCGGCCACATATTCGGGATCGTTGATGGGATCATCCTCGTCTCCCAGAATAGTGTTGTCTATAAAATATCAGGGTTAATAAAACATCACAAATAACTTTGAAGGAGGCTCCTCACTCAGTGGCTTTGTAAAGTCATTCAGGAACTGCATCCAGTCCGCATCGGTAGCTGTCATATCGTTTTCCACCACATCGCTGGGCTCCACGTCAGGCGGTACGAATTCCGACTGCAAATCCTCAATGGTCGTCTGCTGCAGACAGAATTTGGAGCGCGTTCTGGTGGCAATACGCAGGTCCTCCTTGTCCAGCAGGCTTTTCTCGAGCGGCACCTTGAAGCAACCGTCATCGGAGAATTTTACGGGAGATTCTTCGTTCGCAGTGAGCGGAGTTTGAGGAGTACAGGGATTAGAGTCGAAATCCGAGGCTGTGGTGCTGGGATCATCATCGGACTGGGGGTTAAACTAGGGCTTAGTATCGGTCGAAGAGCTTATAGTGGATACCTACTAGAAAATCCTCCTCCTTGAAGGTGTACTCCTCGTCCTCCTCATCGGAGTGCAAATCCTCCCGTATCAGAGCCTCTATGCCTTCATTGTCGGTGGGGGTTTCATTCAGCTGGGGCAGGGAGATGCCAGGAGTGCAGTTCAGCTCCCGGGCCTTGGCTCGGGTGAGCTTAGGCACGGATGGCGTGTCCGTAATGATGATGGCACCCCGCTTCTGCTGCTCCGCCGACTCCTGCTTCTTTTCCCGCGCCAGCTCGTCCTCCGCCTTCAGAGTGACCAGTGCCAGGACATGATCGTTGCGCACCACCTTCCGGACCACCTTCTGCATGTCCTCGGTGCTGATGGAGTTGTCCTTGGCCACTTTTCGCAGCCGGCGATCGATCTCCTTGGCATCCTCGTCCACCTGCGAGTCCAGGCTCTGGCGATCGCCGCGGCGCCGCTTTCGCGGCCTCCGTGGCGTCGAGCTATTGCTCCTCGTGGCCTCCGTCTTTTTGGCACTGTTCGGCATTCCGGCAACTCATTTGTTAATGAAATTGTAAAGAAAACTTTGCCGAACCGCAAAACAAAAACGCCAGCAAATGTTTACGAAATGCCGCCACTACAATATGCCATATCGATTAGAGGTGGGACCATCGACTATTGTATCGATAGTATCGGTATAAAAATTAAAATTTATTTAATTTTTAAATCTTTCAGATTCACATATATTTAAGGAACACATTTTTTAGAATTTACTCTGTTTATTTATTTTATATTTTATATTTTTTTAAATTAGAATATTGGTTTGCCTATCGAAAACAAATATATCGATGTTACATGTTCCCGCTCTACTATGCTCTGCTTTTCCGGGCTTCTGCCCAAAAATAATATAAAATAAAACAACCCGGCTCTCGGAGCAAATGTGGAGACAGCTTGAGTAGCAACCGAGAAGTCGATCCGCCTCCTTGCCGCTGCGGAAGTGTCCAGACCAAGAGTTCCGTCTCCGTTGCTGCAAGAAGCAGTCGTGAGGTAAGCCCGCGATTTGCCGTGAATCACATGCCCAATGAATGATAAATGACTCCACCCAAAGCGCTAGAAACCGGAAGATGACCCAGAAGGTTACCAAGCTGGCGCTGGCCAGTCGCCTCATCGTGCTCCTGGTCCAGCTGGTGGCCAACGGAGCCCTGCCGGAGCACAGGCCGGATGTATTCCGGATGCCGGTTTCGGAGGAGCAGCGGACGGGCTGCTGCGAGTGGCTGGACAAGCTGGTGAGGCGCTGTCTGGGCGGATTGAGGCACTGGGACGGGGAGTACTTCCTGCACATTGCCGGCAATCTGTACTCCTACGAGAACTCCCTGGCCTTCTATCCACTGTATCCGGTTGTGGTGCGTCATGTGGCCCAGTCACTGGAGTATTTCGGAGTGCCCCTGTCCAACGAATCCCTGCTGCTGCTGGTGGCCGTCGGCCTGAACGTCTGGCTCTTCTGCGAGTCCGCCAACCTGCTGTTCCAGCTCACCCACCTAATGTTCAACGACCTGAACAAGAGCTGGAATGCGGCGTTGATATACTGCTTCAATCCGGCCACCATTTTCTTCACGGCCGCCTACTCGGAGTCCTTCTTTGCCTACGCCTCCTTAAACTTGATGCTGGAGTGCCTGAAGCCGACGGACAACTTCCGGTTCCTGCGTTTGGGAGCCGCTCTAACCGCCTGTCTGGTGTGCCGCTCGAATGGATTGATCGCAATGGGATTCCCGCTGTACTTCTTCGCCCGCCAGCTGCTGGTCAAGAGCAAGGAGCACAACTCTTGCTGGCAGGTGGCAAAGATGATACTGACTATTCTGGGAGCCCTTGGGGTTCTGCACACCTTCTATTTCTACATTTACCGGCTGTACTGCATGCCCACCATGACGACGAAGCACCATCCGCAGCACATCGTTGACTACGCAGAGGAGCGGAAGTACCTAGTATCTGGGCAGGGATCCGAGGGATCTCCCTGGTGCCAGTACACGTTGCCATTTCCGTACACTTACGTGCAATCGCACTACTGGGATGTGGGCTTTCTGCGCTACTACAAGTGGAAGCAGCTGCCCAACTTCCTGCTCGCCCTGCCCATGCTGAGTTTCATGCACTGGCACTGCTACGATTACCTGCGTGACTTTATGAAGACTGCCTGGGCGAAGGTCACGCCCTCTGGCTACAGGGATCTGGTCAAGGAGCACCTCACATTCCCCTTCGTGCTGCACGCTGCGTTTCTCACCCTCGTCTGCACCGTTTACGTGCACATCCAGGTGTCCACCCGACTCCTGGCCTCCGCCACGCCGGTTTTTTACTGGTTCGCCGCCGACCACATGCCCAAGACACTGGCCCAGCTTAAGCTGCGCTCCAAGGCGGGAGCTCTCTTCATATGGTGTACTACCTACAGTTTGGTGGGCACGGTGCTATTCTGCAACAATTACCCCTGGACGTGAGCTAGCCGAGTGATGAGGAGGGAGCTGGAGGACCCGCTGGTTGCCAAAGAGACTGTTCATCCGCACGGATTGCTTTTTAGTGTGTAAATAATCGTCCAAGTTCTCTAAATTTAATTGATAGTTTTTGAGGCGCTCAAAGTATTGTATTCCCATGGAAGTTTCCCAACATTTATAAACACTTCAAATTGAAACAAAAAAAAATTGGAAAATAAAAATTGTTAAAAAAATTTGGTTTGTTTTTAATGTAGAAAAACTTTTATTGTTAAAATTATCATTTAAATTTTCAAAGTTCCTTAAACAGTATGGAATACCCTAACTATAATTTAACTGAATAGCGGTAGCTTTTGGTATATTTCGGTATATTCAAATATGGCTAGTATTTTTTTGTGAGTGTGCGGCCATACTAGCAATCAGCTGTTTTGGGTGGCGGATCAAAACAAAGAAAATTGTAGAGAAAATTGTTTATTAACTTAAATCCTCGAGGAAAACAGAAACATGGATGGGCAACTGCGCCTGCACAAGGTGGGCGACTTTGCCGCACCGAGTCTCCAGGAGAAGTCCAGCAAGGCGGGCAACATGGAGCAGTTGTCCGGAGTGATGATAATCATCATAATCAGTGGCGGCGTACTCACCTGCCTGATGCTGTTCATCTTCGCCAAGCGGCAGATCATGCGCTTCCAGCTGCGAGGACGTCGTGGCCCCCACGTGCCGGTGGGCAACGACGCCAAGAAGGCGCTGAGGAGGGAGATTGAGCGGCGCTTGGACTGCATCCAGAAGATCACGCAGGAACCCAAGCTGCTGTGGAACGATGGCGACAAGTACATCGTTCAGCCGGAGCAGGAGGCACCGCTGCCGCCGTACTACTACCGCATGAAGGCGGTGGACGACGTGAAGCTGCTAGAGTCGGAGATCGCCCGGTCGGATGGCAGCTCGCGACATGCTCCCGAGAGCCTGAGGGCCTTTCTGCTGACCACTTTGTCGGTCACCTTGAACGGAGCCGGTCAGCGGATGATTCACCAGTACTGCGATATGTACGAGCACGCCAGGCACGACCCGAATGAGTTTGGAAAGGATGAGTACGAGGCGTACCACCATTTGCTGCTCAAGCTATTGGAGGCGTGAGTTAATTGAAACCGAAGTTTTCCTAGTCACTTAACTGATCTTTCCTCCTTTAGATCTAAGCAGCTGAAGAACTACAATTCCCGGAAGGCTTCGCCCGCTCGCACCCCGCGGAAACAGACCAAAATGCATTCCCTACTGGATCCTGCTCGCCTTCGACCGCCCACCACTTTGGAAAACGTTCAGCCCAGCAGCGAACTCACAACTGGACAGCACGCCAAGGTCAATTTGACGCTAGGTCTGCAGGGCGGCAACGGCGGAGGTGGCGAAGGTGAGGCTGAGCTGGCCACCAATCCTCTTCATCTGCAGGCGCCCTCGGAAAGAGATCTTATCATACGCAATAGAATCAAGACTCCCACCCTGGACGACATCATCGTGGAGGCGGATCATCATCTGAACGGTGATGCGGGAGTTATGGAGGATAACGAAATCAAGAGCATTTCGTCCAAGCAATTTCAAAGGAACTCCAACAATGTCTGAGAACGACTCCAAAGAATCCCTCGAACTGGATCGCCAACGATGTTGTAGTCTTTAACTATTTAAAAATATTTGTTAAGATAAAATAGTTTATTTTATTATTTTCTAGTGGTAAAAACAGCTACGATTTCGGGAGAATAATCATCTCTTTTTGGCAGTAAAAAAAAACCGATTAGTTTTCTTTTTTGTCAGTTTTCCTAAGCATAAGTTTAATTCCTTAAATTCCAAAATATGTAACTAGTCTCTTGTAATTGTAGTAAAATTGGTTCAACTAATTTCTCCACTTCCTCTAGCAGCGATCCTATTTCTTCTTACAAGGATCCTCTTTCTTTTTCTTGGATGGATCTTCCTTCTTCTTCTTGCAAGCGGCCTTTTCCTTCTCGGCGCAGTGATCGGCCAGTTGGGCATGGAGAACCAGGTCGAGGAGTCGACAAGAGTATCCCGTCTCATTGTCGTACCAGCTAATCAGCTTGACGAAGTTGTCGTTCAGGGCAATGCAGGCCTTGGCATCGAAGACGGAGGCGAATCGAGATCCGTTGAAGTCGGTGGACACCACCTCCTCCTCCACATAGCCCAGGATGCCCTTCATTTCGCCCTCGGCCGCCGCCTTGATGCACTTCTTGATGTCGTCCATTTTGCCCGGCTTGCCAAGGCGACACGTTAGGTCCACCACCGAAACGTTGGGCACTGGCACCCGGAAAGCCATCCCCGTGAGCTTTCCGTTCAGATCGGGGATTACTTTGCCCACTGCCTTGGCGGCACCCGTGGCAGCGGGTATGATGTTGCTCATGCCGCTGCGTCCATCCCGCCAGAGTTTGCTGCTCGGTCCGTCGATGATCTTTTGAGTGGCGGTGGCCGCGTGAACGGTGGTCATCAGGCCCTCGCAAATTTGGAAATTATCGTGGACCACCTTGGCCAACGGCGCCAGGCAGTTGGTGGTGCAGGATGCATTCGAGATTATCGGCATATTCGATTTGTACTTATCCAGATTCACGCCGCACACGAACATCGGAGCATCGGCGGATGGAGCCGATATGACCACCTTCTTGGCACCACCATCCAGGTGCGCCTGGCAGGCTTTCAGGGTGGTAAACCTGCCGGAGCACTCGACCACCGTGTGCACGCCCATATCACCCCACTTGACCTTCTTCAGATCCGCCTCCTTGAGCAGCTGGATCTTCTTGCCGTTGACCACCAGGCAGTTGCCCTCTATGGAGATCTTCTGATTGAACTGGCCGTGTGTGGAGTCGTAGCGCAGCATGTAGGCCAGGTACTTGGGATCCAGCGAGGGATCGTTGATGGCCGCGATCTGGACATCCTTGCGCACCAGAGCCTGGCGGGCAAACATCCGACCGATGCGCCCGAAGCCATTGATTCCAATCGCTGGCATTCTGTTTTTAAAAAATAGACTACCTTAAATTTAGAAAGATTTCGATAGGTATCTGTAGGTAAAATTTACATACGTTTATGAATATTGGAATGGCTTTGGCAAGGGAAAATAAAATGACTTCCGGATCCCAGCTGCCCTAGATCCTTTCGAGCTTATGGCTCCCTGATGGAAGGCATACATAATTACGCAGTTGGGTATAAATCAATCGAACTCGACCACCTGCCAGGGCTTCTCACGAAACAAAATTACAATAACCTTCGGGAACGCCCTGTCCAAATTGTCTGGAGCCCCCAAGAAAGTGGGAGTGGCCCCCAAATTGCTGCCCACACACACACATCCGTGTGCATAGAAAATCCAGCTTCAAGGGTCATTACTCACCTTTTGTGCGGAGGGCTCCAATCCTTCGGGACCCCACCCTTTCGTACACTTAAAAGAACTTATGACAATTTGGCAGACTTAAACTACAAAACCGATTTGCAAAAACAAACCATTTTCAAATGGTTTTATATTTATAAAACCTGTTACAATATACATTTTATATAAATACCAATTTAACTAACAACCCTAAGCCTTTTTTCTGCGTGTTGTTCCTTCTTTTTTAGCATAGCAGATGACGGCCATAGAAAATTCCATTCCCATCTGCCCCTTTTGGCCCATGACTGGGCTGGAAATGTATTGAACTGAAGTTTTATTCGTTCGGCTTTTAGTGGGGAACCCATTCCGCTATCGACCTGAAATCGGTCTCGGTCTTCAACTAGCTATGACAACTTAACTTTGTTGAATATTTTATTTATGATGCCGAAGCAACAGCAGGACGACTCGCAGCATGTTGCTAGCAACATTTCAACGCCCCCGCAAGAAAGTTCCAACTGAGCGCAAGGACTCTCTCTTTTGGCAGGGAAAACTGAGCTCTCCGGGCCCCGTGTGGTGGGTTTTCCTTTTGGGGCCGCCGTTGATTACGAAATTGTTGCAGTAATCGCAGCACCCGCAGTTGCAAGCCCTGGATAACGCGAAATCCGAAATCCCAACTCCACACTCCCACTCATTGTATCATTTATGTTTGGACTGAAGATTCGTAGGTGTCATAAATGTTAAATGTTCCCCTATAAAATCCCATCAAATTTAAGTTTATTTTATGGACCCTGGGTGCCCAGAACCCTTGCAACTTTGTTTGGGGGCCAGCTTGTTTACTTTAGTGTCCCTGCCACTGGAAATTTATGCGAAAAACTTTCAAATTTGAAACTTGTCTGCCGAGAGTCGCCGCTGAGAAATGGTCTACATAGAGCAATGGGAGAAAATCCCATTTTAAGAGCGGCTTTAAGGAAAGTTCGTCAAAGTGTTTAAATATGGAATATATGCAATTTAAATCAACTCAAAACAATAAAGGTAGAGGTGGAGTTTCAGCACAGCAAAGTTTTTGTAATTTAGTACGGTAAGCTGTAGCTTATGTTCTTCGTTGACGTTTTATCGGGTGGAAATTATCAACAATTTACTGCCCGCCAGCAATGTTGTAGAACATATTGGAGTTATATTTCAGTGGCAAAATTCTTAATCTTAATCACTGTTTCTCAACACTCACCGAGCATTAAGAGAAATGTATTTTGCTGTTAAGCACGTAGAAAAATGTTTGGTTAATATCTGTTTTCTGGTGGGTAATTATCATATACCTTGAGATATTTTAGGACAAGGTATACCTAAAATAAGGTATCACATAACCAAAATATGGATTATCTGCGCACAAAATACGTATTAAATATTAAGGCGTAAAACATCCACTTTGATTATATTTTTGTTCGTGTACTCGCGCACATAAAGGGCCAATGGTAAATGTCCCTCCAGGGCCTCTTTAACTTGTTGGCCGGGCCAGGGGCCCCACTAAAGTTGGTCTACAAGCCGGATAAATGTATTTAAGACCGAGGCCGGCATTAAAGCAGACCGGGCTTAAGCTGACTGAACAGGAAAACAAATCGTTTGCGAAATGTTGCGGAAGTGCCAATTGTTTTATTATATTTTTTTCCAGCTGCGAAGGACAAAGTGCCTCCATAATTTCCACAGCTGTCAATGCGCTGCGGAACAGCTTAGCATTGGGACTCGAGATTCCCCGGCTCCTTGGCTTCTTAGCTCCTCCTCGCTTCCTGATCGCATTGAGCTTATATATTTTCCATTATTTCCCCTGCTGAGCTGCAAGTACTGTATATCTACCGCCTGTGAATGGGTGCAGAAATGTTGTTTGGCTCCTTAGCGATTATCCGGGGGATCAATATTCAGCAGCCAGCTGCAGGACCCCCACCGCCACTAACCCTGCAATAGTTTTCAGGAGCCGGATGGTACATCATTCCCAAATTGAATTGTCAGGGACAAGTGCGCTGCGCTGCTGCGAAATTTTCGGAGGAACAAAGGGCCGTTTGGCGAACAAAAGGATAAGGAGCCGGGGCCACATCCAGCCAAGCCCGACTCTGTACTCGTATTCCAACTGACAGCTAATTGTGCGCTCAAGTGCCTAAAGAGGGCGTGGCTGGGATTTGAATTCCGGAATGCAAACTCTCCCACAACTTGTCCTCGCCAGAACTTGGAATTAAATCAAAGGGCCAATGCGGCAGATGTAAATCGTATATTTCTTTTTTCTGTGCTTTTTTTGCCTTCGTAAACTTGGCATTTTTGGCAGGTCATGAAATTCGAAACCTACAAAATATATATCTCTTGCCAAACAAATCAGTTGCAACATACAGCCAAAACCAGAACGAGAACTTGCCGACTGAGAAGTCAACCCATTCAATGACTTAGATATAATTCAATTTGCATTTTTGCGGATGCGGAATGACATTTTTTCCGCTCGTGTGTTTGTGCGGCATTGAAAGTTTTCGTTGAACTTTCATGGTAACTTAGTAAATGAGTTTTCAATAAATGTACTGTGGCCGTTTCGATAGGGAAGATGATGCGAAATGTGACTTTTTCGAAATAACCTTGCACTGGGAAAAGAAAAGGAATCAATTTAGGGGAAAACTTGTTGTTTATGGACTATATTTTTATTCTATTTTTTTAAGTTCGTTAAAGTGTTTATAATAATTTATTAGAACTAAAAAATGATTCTTTTAACTTCAAAAAAGTCGTTGAAAAATGTTAATGGTTTTTTCTAAAGGAAATCATAATACCAATTGCTAATATTATCCCTACCAAAATTTAGAATGTTGAACTTTTCTGTTCGACAATACTCAATGATTACTATATCTATAAAATCTGTTTAAAACCATAATTAACCATGTTCATGTACAACCTTTAAACAATAGGAATTTTAGACTTTCGTAAAAGAAAAGTTCTCACTTTACACAATCTAACTAGATTTAAATTCCTTACAAACAAGTTTTTGCTTGAGGAGAACCAATTGAAAAGATTACCCTTAAATTCCCCCATATATTCAGTTCAAAGGACTTTCCCTCCTTCATCAACTACAGCCGCACTTAACCCCTTTGCTTGTGTTTCTCCACCAACTTTTGTGTAAACTCTCAACTTTTAGCTCTCCATGGCTGGTGGCTTTTGACTAATTGACACAACTGACCAAGTGAGGAATTGCCTTAAATTGAAATTCGATGGAATAACAATTAATTGAGTATACGGGTTCAGGTGCAGTAATTACGTTGATATATGCCTGTTCGCCGGCAGTGGCCACTCCATAAATAAAACAACATTACGTATACGCAAAGGATGCCAGCCAGTCGTTTGAGTGCGAGTGTGTGTGGCTCTAGCCAGGATATATCCTGGCTGGAACTGGGAAAGCGAGTCAAATGCCATGAAATTTCATTACCTTCGAGAGCACCGGCAAATAGCATAAAAGTTAAGCTGCTAGCTAAACCAATTACACTAGAGCCGCGATGTTTCAGCTACCAAGGGAGCAACCTACCAAAAGCAGCAACAACCACAGCACTAACTACAACAATAATGTCAACAACGAAACCAGCAACAAAAACAAATGTGTAGTAGTGAAGCCGAGCCGGAAAAGCGGGGGAAATTCTGGTGTATGGGAAGGCGAAAAGCAGCAACTGTTGCCCACTAAAACGGCAAGAAAAACAGAAGCTTCTGCGGCAGTGGTGGCAAAATCCTAAATCAAATTCGGGATTCCCTCATACGTCTAGTGTAAAAAGAAGGAAACATATTGATTTTTTAACATTTCCGACACTCAAATGTATATTTATTGAAATAATGGCCATTAACACCAATTTCTACGTATTCAGTGCTTTATTTTTAGTGCAGTCATTTTAACAAGAAGTTTAGTAAATAATTTTAGAATTTTATAACTTCTTTCTTATCGTATATGCCATAAAGAATCCAACAAATAAATTAAACTCTACCCCAGAAATGTAGAAAAATAAAACTAAAATAAAGAATTGACTCTTAACATTTTTTGATAGTTTCGTTTGGCAGATCTGTCCGGAAAAAGGATGAATTACCAGCACAGTTCGGCGGGGACATTAAAGAGATTTATTTATTTCTGGCAACATCGTGTTGTGAGCGAGTATCTGAAGCGAATAAACGAAACGGAACGGAACAAGGGCAATTCCTTCACTTGTCAGCTAACACCTCACCCAAAAAAAACCGAAAATAACCCCCCAACCCGACAAAAAGCCAGCTCACTTTCTCACTGCGACTGTCAAAAACTCATTTATTATTTAAATAATATGCAAAGGAGACGGGGGCCGAAGGAAACACGAATAAAATTCAGCCTGTTGTTCATTTTTATTTCGAGGAGCCAAAGCAAAAAAAAAAGAAGGAAACAAAACTTTTGTGTCAAAGTTCGAGCTTCTTTTTTATGATGATGATGATGAGGACCGACAAGTTAAATTTTGCTGGGGCCAAGGATGTTTGGTGTCAGTCCGCAGACATCCGCTGTCAGTCGGTGTGGCGAGAAAAGAATCGTAGTTGGCAAGTCAGGTTACGAAACTCGAACAAGACAATACAAATCAAATGGTTGATTGCACATGCATAAAACAATTCCCCTGTTTACTTATGACCATTGCAATACGTTCTAAATTTCTCATAAATCCTGCCAGGTTGATATATTTCCGTTTGCTTAAATTAAATTAAGACAATTGCCG